AACGCAGAAAACGAAACGGACCACACACCCAAAATTTCGAATTTCGGCGTCCCGGGGGGACAATGTCCTGAAGGCCCCCGGGACAGCTCATTTGTTCCAGGGGTGCCGGGACGCCCCGAAACGCCCCGGACAACCTGTCCTGAGAACAACCTGTCCCAGATAGGCCCGGGACAACCTGTCCCGGGGGGGGCCCGGGACAGCCAGAGCCAGGGGGGGGCCATGAGGCAAGGGTCTTGGAATAAGAGGAGTGAGAGGATTTAGGATTTAGGAACCAGGAAAGTGCAAAAAAAGCCAGACGACCCCATTAAGGTTTAAATATATATATATATATGTATATATATATATGTATATATATATATATATGGGTAGAGAGGGCTTAGGGTTTAGGGTTTAGGGTTCAGCAGCTCATGTACTAGCTTTCACTAGTCGAGCTTATTCATCATGTATTGGAGAAATACCCACCCACCCAGAGAATCCCAAAACATTAAGAACATACAACATTATCATTTTCAGCTGCACTTTAAACCCTAAGCCTTGAGCCCTGAATTCTATACCCCTAAACCCTAGGCCTGGACACCCCCTGACCAGCGGGGGGGCCGGAGCTGGGGAGCGGCTGGGGAGGGGGGGTGGTTGGGGGGGGGGGGGGGGGGGGTTGTGTGGGGGGTGAGGGGGGGGGGTGTGTGGGGATGGGGTAAACAGTAGCATCGATTCCTCACCTATATGTGGCCCACACCTTCAATTTTCGTGAATTTTTGTGCCTTCCCCACCAATTTTTGTGCCTTGCCCAGGAATTTTTGTGCCTTGTTGGTGCCTTGCCCACCAAAGTTTATGCCTTGCCCACGAATTTTGGTGCCTTGCCACCAATTTGTGTGGCCCAAAATTCGTGGGCAAGGCACCAAAATTCGTGGGCAAAGGCACAAAAATTCGTGGGCAAGGCACAAAAACTCGTGGGCAAGGCACAAAAATTCGTGGGCAAGGCACATTTTGGGGTTTTAAGCCTTGCACGGGCCCAGAACCCGAAAACGTGCCCTTAAGTGTGGGGGTCCAAGAGGGTTCTTGGTTCCGGGGCCCCCTGACGTTGAACAAAAATACTTTTGAAATGTTTAGTTGGGGGCACTAGAGAAAATAGAGCTTTAAACCATATAGACATTCAGGGAATATCTGTTGCTGCAGGGTTTAGGTTTAAAGAGAAGCCCGAAACCCTATAGGTTAAGCAATTTAAACCTAAACCCTTAACCTGTAAACCCTATAAAGTTAAGGCGTGACGGTCTAGGCTCTAAGACTTAGGCATTTAAACCTAAGCCGGCAACTAAACCTAAACCCTCAACCTTTAAACCCTATAAGGCTAAGGTTTAACGGTTTAAGCTCTAGGATTTAGGCATATAAGCCCAAGCCGGCAGTTAAACCTAAACCCTTAACCTTTAAACCCTATTAGGTTAAGGCTTAAAGGTTTAGGGTTCAGATTTAGGCATGTTAACCGAGTTGAAACCTTAAGCGTTTAAGGTTTAGGCATGTAAACTATGTATGAGCTGGTACATAATAATCTGTGTACTTAAGCTTGGTTTGAAAGAGTTTTTGTCACACAACATTTCCTAAGCCATAAATCCTACAGGGTTATGCCTATGTTTGTAGGGGCTTGCCTCCTGTGGAAATGCAAAAAGAAAGCAGAATAAGTATCAACATCATGTATATAGGGTATATGTATTGTATCTCAAATACAGATAATGGAGAAGGAAGGGTGGTAAGCCTCGAACCGTACGACTTGGAAGCATTCGAGTGCAGAGGGCGACGCAAAAAACATCGTTTACTGTAAGCCCCGGGACGCGAGAATACTGTGAGCAAATATCCTTTCACTATTTCCTGGGACTTCCAACAGGCTGCTAGTCGTTGCTTGCAAGTATCTTGCTTTTCATCCCCCTGGAATATGATTTGGGGTTGGCTTCTGAGGGGGGCGGGGGTACCATATACCGTGTCGCGTGTCGGTACCCCCCCCCCCCCCCCCCGACCTCCCCCCCCCCCCCCCCCACCACCCCCCACCCCCACCCCACCCCCCCCCGCCCCACCCCCATGGACCCTAAACCCTAACCCTAAAAACCCTAAAAAAAACCCTAAACCCTAAACCCCTAACCCCTAACCCCGAAACCGTAAACCCTAAACCCTCAACCCTCAACCCTCAACCCAAAACCCCAAGCACACCACCCCACAGGGGGCCCAAACCACAGGGGGCGGGGACCCTAAACCCTAAACCCTATATAAACCCTAAACCCTAAACCCTAAACCGTAAACCGTAAACCTAAACCCTAAACCCTAAACCCTAACCCTCAACCCAAACCCCACCACACCACCCCACAGGGGGGGGGGGGGGACCGGGGGGGGGGGGGGGGGGGGGTGGGGGCGGCGACGCTGGACCATATATATGTGTATAACGAAATATTGTGGGCCCCTACTCCCGAGATTACGTTTTCAGACCCCCCCCCCCTCTGACAATCTTATTGTTGGCGTCGGAGACATGCACACACACATACAGTAAAAAGACTATCCACCAAAAAACACAACAAAGAAAAAAAGCACACACAAAGACAAAACAGACAAGCGTCCACAGCGTCCCCTTCCCCAGAAAGTTTAGGGTTTAGGGTTTAGGGTTTAGGGCTTAGGGTTTCGCCCTTCTCGATTTGTGCGTTTTGGGTTTAGGGTTTAGGGTTTAGGGTTTAGGGTTTAGGGTTTAGGGTTTAGGGTTTAGGGTTCTTGCCTCGTCCACCGGCGGCAGGTCTGGTGAGGAGGAGGCATCCGAGGCCTGCCAGCGCCACGACGTTTCGGGTTTAGGGTTTAGGGTTTGGAGTTTGGGGTTTAGGGTTTAGGGTCTAGGGTCTAGGGTCTAGGGTCTAGGGTCGAGGGTCGAGGGTCGAGGGTCGAGGGTCGAGGGTCTAGGGTCTAGGGTCTAGGGTCTAGGGTCTAGGGTCTAGGGTCTAGGGTCTAGGGTCTAGGGTCTAGGGTCTAGGGTCTAGGGTCTAGGGTCTAGGGTCTAGGGTCTAGGGTCCTAGGGGTAGGTTCAGGGTTCAGGGTTCAGGGTTCAGGGTTCAGGGTTTTCAGGGTTCAGGGTTTAGGTTTTAGGGTTTTGTTTAGGGTTTAGGGTTTAGGGTTTAGGGTTTGGGTTTAGGGTTTAGGGGGTTTAGGTTTAGGGTTTAGGGTTTAGGGTTTAGGTTTAGGTTTTTTAGGGTTAGGGTTAGGGTTTGGGTTTAGGGTTTAGGGTTTAGGGTTTAGGGTTTAGGGTTTAGGGTTTAGGGTTTAGGGTTTAGGGTTTAGGGTTTAGGGTTTAGGGTTTAGGGGGGCTATGTGGTTGCAGAGTTGTGAGAGGATTTAGCAGTACGGCGCTGTTGTTTGAGAGGCCTAAACGGGGTCCCGGGATGGCGCTTGGGGCTGCTCTTAGCAACCCTAAACCCTAGCTTCAGGCTGGAATGCCCTGCCTAGAACCGCCTCAGTCACACCTCAACCTTACTTGAAGGTTCATGGGTGGTTGTAAGTAGGGTTTAGGGCTTAGGGTTTAGGGTTTAGGGTTTAAGATTTAGGGTTTAGGGTTTAGGGTTGTCAGTCAGGTAGCCTATATTATTACCAGAATCAAAGTACTTTGAACCCTGCGGAAAACTACCCATGAACCTCCAAGTAAGCCTTAAACCATCAAGCTCTTCAACACCTCAACACTCTCCCCATGCTGAAGACACCCCCAAAACCCACAAAAAAGAGGGTTTAGGGTTTGGGGTTTAGGGTTTATGGTTTAGGGTTTAGGGTTTCGGGTTTAGGGTTTAGGGTTTAGGGGTGGTACGGGCCTGCATCTGGTTGCGAATCTGGGAGTGCAGCCTCAAGCAGGGGAGTTGGGCTGTTGACCTCGCATCTTCTCTTTTCGGAGACACCGGAACTCTTTCTGCCCATGGAACCCCAAACCCCTAAACCCTAAACCCCTAACCCCAAACCCTAAACCCCTAAGCCGCGATAACGCCCTGGGCCCTGCCGAAGACTTCGTAGCACCACACCCTCATGCGATTTTTTGGGTGAGGGTTTAGGGTTTTGGGGTTTAGGGGGTTCGGGTTTAGGGTTTAGGGGTCAGGGGTTAGGGGTTAGCTACTAGTGCCCCGCAAGTGGCCCCGCAGCCATCTGCAGGCAGCTTCCCGTCTGCTCAAGCGATGCAGTCACCTCGCCAGCCGCGGAAGAAGACATATGGTCAAAGCGCCCTCTAGTTACTATGGCACATGATATAGCGTAATTACTCACAGAATATCCGTAGTACAAGTATACACGGCGCCGGCCCTTCTCAGGGTGCGTTGAGAGCTAGGTGTTGCCAACAAAGGCCGACACCCTTGGTACTTCGCTGAAAGGAATCCTGTGGCCTCTCTCCCTCTGGCCACGCAGAGCCCTAAGGACTATAAAGTTCTCTGCAAGCCCAACTCGACCCTCTTTCGCTTCGAAACAGATGAGGGGTGCAACCCCCTCCCTCACTAAGACTAAGCCCCCACCCGCGCAGCAGAACTCTACGATACTATCACGATACAGTACATCAGAAGAGTGAGCCGTGGCTCGTCAACATAACGGAGAAGGGGTGATTACTGCACCAGGCCGCACCTCATCCAAGCTTCTCTTCAACGAGCCCATGCCTCAGTCCATCTCAAGTTACAGGGGCTAAAGGGTTTAAGGACTAAACCCTAAACCCTACACCCTAAACCCTAAACCCTAAACCCTAAACCCTAAACCGGACCCTTGTATTGCGGGGGACCCCGAGGGTTGCTAGGGGGCCATCTTGGGGGCTGCTTCCCATGTTGGTCGGATCGGGGGTGCCTTCGAGGCGCCCCCCAGTGTCCCTTGACAATCAGACTGAAGATACCGCTGTCGGCACCCACCCCAACCCTAAACCCTAAGCCCCAAACCCAAAACCCTGAACCCAAAACCCTAAACCCTAAACCCTAATTCGTGGAAGAGGCTTCATTCAGATCACACCCGAAACCCTTCTGCTACATTCCGACTCGAGGGCTTGGTCGAATCCCGGTGACCATGACACAATCTGAGCTCCTGGGTGGAACATGCATGCAGGAAGGGCTGACATGATGAGGTGTCATTAAAAAAACCTTTGAGATGGAATCCCACACAACAAGATGGTTCGAAGCCCTGGAAGAACCCTAAACCCTAAACCCTAAACCCTAAACCCTAAACCCTAAACCCTAAACCTCAACAGCCACCCCCCCCCCCCCCCCCCCCCCCCCACCCCGAACCGCTAAGCCGCGTCTTTCAAGCCGCGCTATCCTCAGCCTAACCCAAGGCCGAAGACTCAAACGGAGTGGCGAAGGCTTCGTCAAGACAGTGTAAGGGTTTAGGGTTTTAGGGTTTTAGGGTTTAGGGTTTAGGGTTTAGGGTTTAGGGTTTAGGGTTTGGGGTTTGGGGTTTGGGGTTTAGGGTTTAGGGTTTAGGGTTTAGGGTTTAGGGTTTAGGGTATATACCCGGGAGTAACCTAGGAATAAAAAGGGTACCCTTTTTGGTTTTAAGGGGATTACAAGGGAACCCCAACCCAAAAAAGAGGAAAAATGGGCCTACTCTCGGTCCTAGGTGTATATGTGTATGTACAGACATTCTACTGTATACTACTTTTCTTTTAGGGTTCAGGGTGTGGGGTTTCAAAGGGATTGGGGGGTTTGGAAGCTTTGGGGCTCGGAGAACAGGGTTCCTAAGAACTGCGAAATAGGATTTAGGATTCAGGATTTCGGGGTTAGGGGTTTGGGGTTTGGGGCGAAGTTTGGGCATAGTGGGGACTTTGTCGAACAAGCCGCGTAGGGTCGTCTCAATGTCGCGCTCCTGCTCGGGTGGCGGCGCGGAGAGAGAAGGAGCCACTGCTACTCCAAGTGCATTTTCTGGGGCCTGTGAATTAAGAACCGCACCCCAAACGCTCCATTACGGTTGGGTTAAGGATTGCAAGATACTTGCGCTGCAGTCAGCCGGTGCATCCCAAAGACTCTGGCCCCTCTCGAACAACAGCCCTAGGCCTCTCACTCCACCCCCCCCCCCCCCGAAGGTTCATAGATACGCAGCGTTTTAAGGTTTTGGGTTTACGCGGTTTCGGGTTTAAGGTTTAGGGTTTAGGGTTCTAGGGTTTAGGGTTAGAGGGATCAGGGTAGGGTTTAGGGGGTAGGGTTTATACTGTTTGCGGTCATAAGCATCGTTATGAGGAGGGCCATTGATTTCATAACGTGCGCACTTCAGCCACGATACGTCTCGCCCTGCATTTAGCTACCCCTGAACCGCCAAGCAAAGGCCAATAAAAAGCCTTGCAAAACCCTACCAAACCATACAGAGCCCACACAAACCTTACAAGGCCGTCTGAAACTCAAACCCCAAGAGGGAGACGTTCTTCAACGCTTGGGGTTTAGGGTTTAGGGTTTAGGGTTTAGGGTTTAGCGTTTAGGGTTTAGGGTTTAGGGTTTAGGGTTTAGGGTTTAGGGTTTAGGGTTTCGACTCTCACACTCGCTCAAGGCCGGCAAGGCATCGGTTGGTAGGTCTGACTTCGAAACACTAGCAACAGCCACATTGGGCCGCGTCACCAACACCACTCAGGGTTTAGGGTTTAGGGTTTCCCCACGCCGGCCTTCGACCAAAGACGCATCTCTGCCAGATCCAGGGCCTAAGGACGTGGGAAATCGTTTAGGGTTTTGTGCAGCCAGGGCTTTGGGGTTTAGGGTTTAGGGTTTAGGGTTTGGGGTTTGGGGTTTGGGGTTTATGGTTTATGGTTTGGGGTTTGGGGTTTGGGGTTTAAGGCTTAGGGGTGGGGTTCGGGGTTTAGGGTTTGGATAAAACCTGGAGGCTTGCCTTTCGGGTGCCCGAAAAGGACCGTGGTTTCGCGCCTCAAGCTTAGGGAACTGGGACCCCCAGTCCACCCACACACAGCCGAACCCAAGCCAGCCAAGCCGATGTTGCATACCTCCGTGCCCTCGGAGCTAAACCCTAAACCTTAAACCCGAAACGAAGACCCTGTGAAGGACAGTAGCACATACCAGGAAAAAATTAGGCTTTGTCCTGCGCAGGCCACATATAAAGGGGCTTAGTACTGGAACAGGGTGTTGGGGGTGTAAGAGAAACATCATACAGGCACCATAGACCATAGGGGAATACTGTTAGAAACGATTCCGACCCGAAGCGTCCAAGGGAAATTCAGGTTTTGTGCTGGCGGAGGTTTTTTTGTTCATTGCTTTCCTCATCGACTTCGCCAGTGTGCATGCCGGAAACTTGTTGCCAGAAGGCGCCGTGTCCTGCGCAGGACACGAAAAGCAGCCGAATGAACTTTCAGGTCTTGCGCTGGGGGACGTTTTCGGCCAGAGGCCCTTCTCTTGTCAGCCTTTCAGGCCCGACGGGCCGCCACAAACTCCCTTCCAGTGGCCTTGGGGGTTGCAAGGCCCTTTCAGGGGCTCTGCCAGCAGTTTCATAAGGGTTTGCAGGTGCCTCGCGGGCCCCCTTTTTTTTAAGCTCCCAGCTTCCCCTAACACCTTCCAGGGGGTTCCGGGCTCTGCTGCCCGCAGAGCCTGCCTGGTCTCGCTGCGCTCACCTACGCAATGGAGGTGAGAGGGGTGGTGCTTAACCCTAAACCCTAAATCCTAAACCCTAAGCCCGAGGGCAGAGTGAGGGTTTAGACTGGTGGCCTTGATCAGGCAAAAAAAGCATGGCTCTCCAGTCTCCCATGTCCGCACACTTTACACAGCTCCTGGACCCAAGACCCTATTGTGCGCCGCTACAAAGAAAGGGTTTAGGGATTTAGGATTTCGGGGAGCTGCCACCCCGTGTAAGTTAGGGTTTCGGTTTAGGGTTTAGGGTCTAGGGTTGAGGGTTGAGGGTTTAGGGTTTAGGGTTTAGGGTTTAGGGTTTAGGGTTTAGGGTTTAAGGTTTAGGGTTTAGGGTTTAGGGTTTAGGGTTTAGGGTTTAGGGTTTAGGGTTTAGGGTTTGTGAAGCTTGAGCCCGGGAAAGCTGAAGGAGACAGGGGCTTCGGGTTTGAGGGTTCCCCTTCTCTCCCCCTAAACCCTAAACCCTCAACCTAGGGTTTAGGGTTTAGGGTTTAGGGTTTGGGGTTTGGGGTTTGGGGTTTGGGGTTTGGGGTTTAGGGTTTGGGGTTATAGACCATATTTTGCCGAGACCTCCGGCCTTTGCAGGACCACGTAGCCGCAGGCAGCCTTGCACGAACCTTCCACGTGGATTTCGTCAAAACGCTACGGGGTTTAGGGGTTTTAGGGTTTTAGGGTTTTAGGTTTTTAGGGTTTTAGGGTTTTAGGGTTTTAGGGCACCCTAAAACCCTAAAACCCTAAAAATTAGGGTAGTGGGTTTTAGGGTTTTAGGGTTTTAGGGTTTTAGGGTTTTAGGGTTTTAGGGTTTTAGGGTTTTTAGGGTTTCAGGGTTTACATGGGAGCCATCCAGGCGAGCTTTTGGGTCGGCACCCTTCGTCGGCTGTTTGTTAATCACCCCGGGGCCAGAGAACTATGCTTCAAACACCGTGGTCCGGAGAGCTGGTTTCAAACCGTTTTGGGGCTTAGGGCTTAGGGCTTGGGGTTTAGGGTTTAGGGTTTCGGGTTTAGGGTTTAGGGCTTGGGGTTTAGGGTTTAGGGTTTAGGGTTTAGGGTTTCGGGTTTAGGGTAAGCCCTAAACCCCCAAAAGCAAAAATGGAGCCCAGGCGGCTCCACCACGCTCAAGCTCCCGGAGTCGTCCAGGTCCAGGAAGCGGAAGAGGCGGTCCCTTGCCTCGTTGGGGTCGATACCTTGGAGCCGAGCTTTCGAGTTCTAGTGGTTTAGGGTTTAGGGCTAGGGTTTAGGGTTTAGGGGTTTGGGGTTTAGGGTTTAGGGGCTAGGGGTTTAGGGTTTAGGGTTGAGGGTTTAGGGGTTAGGTTTAGGGAGCTGAAGGGCGTGTAGACTCGGACACAGGTTAGGGTTTAGTGTCGCCACCCCGCCACCCACCCGGGCCCACCCGCAGAAGATTTCAGGGTTTCGGGTTTAGGGTGCACGGTTCCCCAAATCAAGGGTTAAGGGTTTAGGGTTTTGGGATTAGAGTTTAGGGTTAAGGGTTTAGGGTATAGGGTTTAGGGTTAAGGGTTAAGGGTTTGGGGTTTAGGGTTAGTTTATGTTTTTTGGCGGGGGGGGCGGGGGTGTCCAAGTTGCCGATGGCTTCCAGGTAGTTGTCCATCGCCTGGCAGCTTGGGGATGCACTACAACTCAAGCTTTGGGCTGGCTGGCTCTTTGTAGGGAATGTGGGCATGAGGTTTAGGGTTTAGGGTTTAGGGTTTAGGGTTTAGGGTTTAGGGTTTAGGGTTTCGGGTTTCGGGTTTCGGGTTTCGGGTTTAGGGTTTAGGGTTTAGGGTTTAGGGTTTAGGGTTTAGGGTTTAGGGTTTAGGGGGTACCCTAAATCCCCCTTTATGTACCCTTCAAGGGATGATGGTAGGGCACCTCATTCCCCCCATTCCTTAGCAAGAACCTATTGAGCCCAATGCTCCTTGACTGCCTTCGCGGTCCCGGGTTCGTAGTTGGGACCTTTTTCAGAGTTTGAAGCATATTCCTTCATTAGGGGGGAGGGGGGTGCCAAGGTGGGGGGGGTGGGGGGACTTCAAGCTTCACAGGGGGGCGGACCTTGGTGTTCACGAGCTCGTCAAACTCCTCTGGCGACAGCTCCTTATGTGCACCGAGCACAGTGGGTGTTCATGCGGCTCCCAAGCTCGCGTGCGTAGGAGCTAGGAGCAAAGAATCCAGGGCTTATTGAGGTTGTAGAGCACGGGCGAAGAAAGCAAGGAATCGGAGGGTCCCAGTGCACATTAAGCTTCAGGGCTCAATGGAACATGTCGGGGGTTGACCTGAAACACCTGCAAGCCAAGGCTCGCTGCCCGCTTTGTGCCCTGTCTGCACGAAGATGTCCGCCGCCATGCGCACCAGCTCGTGCTGCTTCCTGTCGGTAACATCGGGTTCGTATCCCCTCATGGTCTCAAGCAAGGGTTCGAAGTCGTGCAAGAACTGTACACCAGAAAAACTGGCCAAACAGACAGATGGGCCATTGCACGTCTCTACTACTGAGTTACTCTTGCTGTTTGCACATCTTCATTGCATGGAACTGGCCGCCTCTCGGCAATCATGGTCTGCGCACCCTCGACCAGGACACCGTTCCTGACGTGTGCTGACGCACAACGGACCAGTGGTGGTCAACCCTCTTAGCCGTGGGTGTGGTGCCTAGGGATTACGGCTTCAGGGAAGGTTAGGGTTAGGGGTTTAGGGTTTAGGGTTTAGGGTTTGGGGTTTGGGGTTTGGGGTTTAGGGTTTAGGGTTTAGGGTTTAGGGTTTAGGGTTTAGGGTTTAGGGTTTAGGGTTTAGGGTTTAGCGTTTAGGGTTTAGGGTTTAGGGCTTAGGGTCCGACAGGTCCCAGAGCGCAGGTGCGCCAATCGCAAGGCACCTGTAGGTGGCAGAACGGAACCGCCATGTTGAAACCAGGGCAAAACCCGAAACCCTAAACCCTAAACCCTAACCTCCATCCGCCCCCCCCCCCCTCCCCGAAAAAGCAAACCCTTACAAAGCCCGCAACCCTAAACTCTTTGCATTTAGGGTTTAGGGTTTGGGGTTTAGGGTTTTGGGGTTTAGGGTCCCTAAACTCTAAGATACTCTAAGCCCCAAAGCCCTAAACGCGCAGCCAGGGCTCACGAGGTTGAGCAGCACCACCAGGGCGAAACCCACGAACAGGGAGAGCACGATGCTGTTGACGATGTACCACCAGGAGCCTTGGGGGTCGGGATGTTTAGGGTTTAGGGTTTAGGGTTTAGGGTTTAGGGTTTAGGGTTTAGGGTTTAGGGTTTAGGGTTTAGGGTTTAGGGTTTAGGGTTTAGGGTTTAGGGGCTTGTGGAGCATAGGGATCTGCAGGAAGTTGAGGTCTTAGGGATTCTGAGAGTCAAGGGATTTAAGACTAGCCTTAGGTGTACCCCTAAAGGCTGCCCTTAACGTACTCCTAGTATGGCCCGTAATATGGCCCTACCCTAAACCCTAAATCCTAATATGGCCCTAATATACCCCTGAAGAGGATCTTTAACAAGGGTCCCCAAACCCAAGGGTTGACGAAGTTAGGCTGCCCCTCTGATACAGTTTTGCAGCCCAGAACCTTGTGAAGCGTTCTTTCCTGAAGCCTGTAAGAGGGGTTGAACCGCGCACACGTGAGCGAGTATGATAAGGGTTTAAGGTTTAGGGTTCGGGGTTTCGGGTACACCCTCAACCCTCAACCCTCAACCCTCAACCCTCAACCCTCAACCCAAAACCCAAAACCCAAAACCCTAAACCCTAAATCCTAAACCCTAAAACTAGGGTTTCTTTAGGGTGGCTGGAGCTTGGGCCACCGGCAGGGTCGTCACCTGACCTTTTTGGGTCGGCCCCGGAGCTCGTGCAAAACGCGAAGCGCGTGCCACGAAGCGCACAGGCGCGCACGCGCACATGCGCGTGTCGTGTATGTATGTATGTACGTACGTACGTATGTATGTATGTTTGTTTCATTTTGGCTTATTAAAACAAACTTATATTCATGTGTGTAGATATAGCAAGACGTATGTACTTTTATCTATGTTTACATACATTTATGTCTGTACACATATAAGTTCTCTCATCCCTTTTATTTGCTGCCCAAAGCACATATTACACAAGCTACCCGGCTGTGGTCTTGTTGCATTTTGCCTCTACAAAACCATCTTGCGCGCGACTTGATGGCCGTCTTGTGGTACACACGCACCTAGTGGACTGAGACCCTCCGACTTGGACATCCCTCGACTGTTGAGACTCTCGACACTATGCGCCAACCCAGCCCTCAGACCAGGCACCATCGCCGAAGACCAGCAGCATGTTGTGCCAGTCCTGGTAGCTTTTTGAGGCCGATTCGCGTGACACTTTCTGGCAACTCGGAGGCCAATCCCCCTATCGGACTCGAAAACACGGTGTTCATCACTTTGTCAGCTTTCGTGCAACCCACCTCGTATGCAGCAAGCCTACGGCGCTTCCGCTCACTTTCACCCAGGTCTCCTACTGGTGCGGCCCTGTGCTGGCCCGGCCGGCCCCTCAACATGGCCACCACCCAGATACCCGGACCCTGTTGGTAGCAGGACTATTTGTCATCCCCTCCACTCTCTCTCGCTCTCTCTCTCTCTCTCTCGCTCGTTCGCTCGCTCGCTCTCTCTCGCTTTCTCTCTCTCTCTCTCTCTTTCTCGCTCCCTCGCGCTCTCTTCCTTGCTTCCTTCTATGGCATATCAAGGACAAGCCCGAGTCAGTTCGTGAGACAGCCGGGTCCCGCTGAGTTCCCGTGAGAACCTAATCCCCAAAGTCTCCGGCCTGTGAGCTACGTGGTCATCAAACATCTGCCTCTCGCACCCTCCCTCTCCCATCTCACACTCTCGTACATTTTTCCTGCGAGCCCTCTCCGTACTGAACCCCGAGCCCTAAATCCTTCACCCATTCCCTCTTCCACTGAAACCCAGAAAGCCTAGGCCCGCTGGCCTCGCTAGGTGTCCTGAAGCCTACAACCCGGCAGCCTGGGCCTCCAGTCGGGCCCACAACTCTCTCACAGGCTTCAGGATTTCGGGTTTTAGGGGCACCTCGCTCGTCAAAGAATCCAACTCAAGTGCAAGTTGGTTGGGACTTAGGGGAAGATTAGGGTGTCAAAATCCTTTCCCTTTGCATTCATCCTGGCATGCGGGTCTGTCCTGCCCGCCGAAGACGGCCAGAAACCTTGCGCTTCAGGTGCTTGCCCCTAAACTAACCCCTAAGCCTAACCCCTCAGCCCAGTCTGGTCTAGATTTCAGCTATGGGCTTTCGACTGTGAGGTTCCAGGAGTGCGGTTCGGTGGTTGGGGTTTGGGGCTTGGGGCTGGGGCAAAAGGTTTCGGGTCGTTTTCGAAAAGCTCAGAGTTTGGGGTCTAGGGTATTTGGGAGACTGTCCTGTGAAGCACGCTGTCCATTGCGCAGAAGCAGCATATTTGGCCGCGGTGCAGCTCTAGTGAGGACCTGAACTAAAGCCTAAACACCTTAACTCTTCCTAAACCCTAAACCCTAAACCCTAAACCCCAAAAACCCTAAATTTAAACAGCCTGTACCCTTCCTGGAGTCTTGAAACTTCGACAGCCCCAAGTCCACCCAAGAGACCTGCGCAGCCTGCGACATGAGCACCCAAAATCCCGAATTATTTAGGGTTCAGGGCTTAGGGGCTTAGGGCTAGGGCTTAGGGTTCAGGGCTTAGGGCTGACGGCTGAGGGCTCAGGGCTTAGGGCTTAGGGCTGGGGCTTGGGGCTTAGGGCTTCGGGCTTGGGGCTTGGGGCTTGGGGCTTCGGGCTTAGGGCTTGCGGCTTAGGGCTTGAAGGGGGGGGGGGAAGGTTTGGGGTTTGGGGCCATAAGGACCCTGGAAGATACCAAGTCTGCAGGATCTCTGAACAATCTTGAGATTGAAAGCCTCATTGACGCAAAAACGCCGGACTCGAGGGTTTAGGGGTGTACCCTTTTCACAAGGGACTCGACTGCTGCCCTTGCTTCCCTGTCTCGCAACATTGAGCTAGGCATCTGGAGCCATCAACACAAAAACACCACGGTTTAGGGTTTAGGGTTTAGGGTTTAGGGCTTAGGGTTTAGGGTTTAGGGTTTAGGGTTTAGGGTCTAGGGTCTAGGGTCTAGGGTCTAGGGTTTAGGGTTTAGGGTTTAGGGTCTTGACTCTGGAGTTCTCTCATCAGAGACTGAAAGACTGAAAGACACGAACTAGCCGTCGGAGCCATGTGCACGGGAAGCACCCCTAAACCCCTAACCCCTGTTGCCCTAAACCCTACACCCTAAACCCTAAACCTTAAAACCCCTAAACCCTAAACCCCAAACATCCCTAAGCCCCACACACAAAGACGCGTGCGGAACGCAGCCAAGATGCAGCGAGTTGATGGACTTGCCCGTCGTGCCCCAGAAGACCTGCCGGAAGCTAATTGCCCCAAACTCTTTTTTGAGTGCAGGCTCTAAGCATCAGCTGTGCCCTAAACCCTAAACCCTAAACCCTAAACCCTAAACCCTAAACCCTAAACCCTAAACCCTAAACCTTAAACCCTAAACCTTTGCAACTGGGCTTGAGGACTAGCCAGATTCAAAACCCTAAACCCTCAACCCTAAACTACCCTAAGCTACCCTAAACCCTAGATGGTTCTGGGTTGAGGGGTCGAACCTCCCCTTCTTTCAGGATATGTAGGATTCTCCAGGTGGGCTGCAAGTAGAAGCCCGCTGAGCATCCCTTTTCAACCCTGCGAGCTCTGCCGGGTACTCGGCTGCCGAACAGCCGTCCTGAGTGTCTGCCATGCAACAAGGCAGTACAATTAAAGGGTGCAAGGAGGGACACTATGTACCTAAGTAGCCCCTAAATAGCCCCTAAATGACCCCGAAGGTCCCTTATAAGGGTTCCTCCTTAAGCCCCTTGAAAGGTAGTACGAGTACCTGCACTGGGGGCCAAAGTCTAGGAGTTTCTCTTAAGGGGAGAAAGCTTTAGCAACTCAACTTCCGGATCTGATGCCACCCCACCCCTTACTCCAACACCCAAACCCCAACAAATCTTGCCCGAACACCTGGCAACAAAACCCAATACAAACGCCCGGACCCTCCACCGGCCTGACACCCTAACCCCTAAGCCTTAAGCGCTAAACCCTCAACCCTAACCCTACTCAAAAAAACTAAAGTCCTTTTACATCAGGAAGCCTATTGTCCAAAAGCCCGAAAACCCTAAAGCCCTAGCGCCCTCAGACCCACCTCAATGCCCTTAACCCGGTAGCTGCCTAAACCTCCAACACTAACCCTAAACCCTAAACCCTAAACCCTAAACCCTAAACCCTAAACGCTAAACCCTGAACCCTGAACCCTGAACCCTGAAACCCTGTGCTGTGCTTAGAGCCCCAAAAGTCTGACCCCAGCAGCACTCAAACCCTGAGGGCACCCGAATCCCTACGCTCCAATCCCCAACTCCCCACAAGCCCTTATTTTCGGGGAACCTAAACCCTCAACCCTCAACCCTCAACCCTCAACCCTCAACCCTCAACCCTCAACCCTAAACCCTAAACCCTAAACCCTAAACCCTAAACCCTAACCCCCCCCCCCCTATCTGGCCTCCAGTTCGGGAACAACGCCCTCCGTGGCCTCGGCAAACTGCCGCGCGACCTCAGCAAAAGCGATCTTCGATCTTCCTTTGTTCGTTATTTCTTTTTGGGACTAGACCCTGGGGTTTAGGGTTTTGGGTTTAGGGTTCAGGGTTTAGGGTTTAGGGTTTTTCTTACAACCCCAATGACCTCTTTTAGATGTCTAGGGTTTAGGGTTTAGGGTTAGGGTTCAGGGTTTAGGGTTTAGGGTTTAGGGTTTAGGGTTTAGGGTTTAGGGTTTCCCTAAACCCTAAACCCTCAAGGAGGAGGATTCAGAAGGCATTTTGAGGTTTTGTAGGGCGGGGGGGGGGGAGGGGACCTCGGGTTCCATGGCATCCCTAAACCCTAAACCCTAAACCCCAAACCCTAAACCCTAAACCCTAAACCCTAAACCCTAAACCCGACCCGGCTTCCCTTGAGTCTCGGAGAGGTCATTGGGGTTTGGTTTTTTAGGGTTTAGGGCTTACTCGATGGAATCTCTTATCAAGACCCTCCCTCCCCCCCCCCCCCCCCCCCCCCCCCCCCCCCACACCCAGAAGGGACCCTCATCTAGGGTTTGGGGCCTAGGGTTTATTGAGGGTTTAATCAGGGTTACACTCAGTTCTCCTCGGTTTGCTCTACCACTAGGGTTTGCGTGGCTTTCGCTTTTTGACGCATGGGTTCAAGCACCCTAAGACCCCACACCCTAAATCCTAAACCCTAAATAAACCCTAAACCCTAAACTGCTCCCAAGTGTCCACCGTGAAGTACAGCGCCACCAGATACCTCAGGCCGCTTCGAGCAGGAAAGCAACCTCCTTGACTTAACCCTTTTGCCTGGACAAGCTGTTCATGCTCGCCAACAGGTGTAGGCGCACTACGAAGCTCCATAACCCTAAACCCTAAACCCTAAACCCTAAAACCTAAACCCTAACTATATTCTCCTGGCTAGGCTCCTCACTCTTCTTCGTGGGGTTCAGAGTTTTAAGGGCTTCGAGTCTCCTGGGGTCTTAGTGGAAGCCCTGAGGCCAACGAGGGTTAGCCCTCAAGCCCGCGAGAACGGATGCCTCGCCTGAAGTTGGGGTTCAGAGTTTGGGGTTTGGGGCTCGAGGCTTTTGGGTTCGGGGTTTGAGTCAGGGGGGTTAAGGTTTGGGGTTCAGGGTCGAGGCTCCCAGCGGCAAACAGGGTTCAGGGTCAGGGTTTAGGGTTTCGGGTTTAGGGCTTTTTTTGCAAACCGTCTAGCAATGCTCCACAAACCAGTTGGTTTAGGGTTTAGGGTTCAGGGTTTGAGGGTCCTGATTGAAGTTGAAAGTTCGGGCTTTCATGGCGCCTTCAGGGCATGGGGCCCAAAGTTTAGCACAGAACTTGAGCTCCCCGCATGATGAGCAGCATCAGCACCGCGGCCCAGAAGAAGGATGTAGACGACCTCCGGAAGAGGCAGGAGAGGGTTCGAAAGCGAGACAAAACACTGTTAGAATAAGGGCACCCTTTCTTGGGGTTGGCTACTTTATAAGGGAACCCCGAACGAAAAAAAGATCAAAGGGTACCACCGGACTAGCTCGACTTTGGGTAGTCTTTGTTTTGGGGTAGTTGGTCAGCTCTTCAAGATGACGGAAGCCTTTTAGAGCCTTGGGTTCTTGAACATCATGTGGGGGGGCAATGTCCAACACGAGAAGTTGGAGGCTTGAAACGTGGCATGTTGGCCAGTGGGCTCACGCTGCTGGGAGAACCTAAACCCTAAACCCTAAACCCTAAACCCTGAACCGGTAAGAATGAAACACAAAACCTGCCAAGTTTGGGATGCCCCCCTCATACTAACAGACCTTCATCGGGATTGTAGTACCCCCTTGTTATCATCCCTACTAAGGAGCTGATAGCATAAAGGGGAACATCCTCATGCCCAGCACAACTGCATGTAAAAGTGCGAGGTTTTGGTGAAGGTTGGAGTTTCCATAAGTGGTCCCGTCCAGGAGGCGTTGTCATGAGCGTCAGAGTGAAGTGCAGCTCTGGTACCATGTGGAACCTGAGCGTTTAGGGTTTGGGGTTTAGGGTTTAGGGTTTAGGGTTTAGAGTTTAGAGTTTAGGGTTAGTGTGTTCGAATCCCTGTGTTTTGCATGTCCAGCCAGACATGTCAACAACATCGGGATGCGTACGCCTAGGGTGGAGCATGATTACACCGTTTGGAAGCTGAGCAGTATAAGACCGGGTGGAGAAGAAAGACCCGCAAAGGAAGACCCATACAGCTGTGATGTCCAGACTCTCCTAAACCCTAAACCCTAAACCCTAAACCCTAAACCCTCTTAGCTACGATCGTAGCAAGGCCCTTGCAGATGGAACTCGCTTTACTAAAAAAAACTCAAGGGGCACAGCCGGTTCTAAATCTGCAGCCGGCCGCAGAGGTTGCTCTACATGAGGTTCGGCATCTTACTTCATAACGCTACGTAAGGGGTCCTCCTTCAAGAGCCCACCCTATGCAGACGTTTCCGGGTCTGCGTGGAGGACCCCTGGCTTGAGAGTGTAGGCTGTGGGGACAAGGTAAGCTGGGGACTCGGGACAAGGGGCTCAGTTCAGGGATTCAGGGTCTCAGATCTTGTGGGATTAAAGGTCAAGCTGTTACATTAAACAGTCTGCAGTCGCCCGAGACACAATCGCGCCATGCGCGCCACTCGCAGAAGCCGTGCGACGCGGTAGAGCTTCATCAGCCCGCCTGCGAATGAAGCTTTGGAGTTGGGATGTTCCCCCTTATACGAACAGTTCTTACTACGGATGATAATAGGGGGTACTATAATCCCTACTAAAGACGGTTAGCACAAAGGGGAACATCCAACTTTGGAGTTTTGATATGTTTTGGCTTCGGACTTGTTTCGGCTGGGCTGTTGACCCTAAACCCTATGGAGCCGAAGCCCCTAATCCTGAAACCCTAAACACCCTCAAATAACCTGAAAAACCCAAAGAAAAAAAAACTAAAAACCCGGAAAACCCCAAAAGGGGCTTAAAGACTTTAAACCCTGCCATTCAGAGACTGGGATTTGGAGCTTAGGCCAGAAGGCTCGGTCAAGGTGTTTTTGAAGCTGCGAAGTTTGCGGCCCCAACGCTCACGCACATGTCGTGCCGGCAACCGGCGCCTCCAATATCCATCAGCCCCCGTTCGCGCGCTTGGGTTCTGAGACTCAGACATTACGTTGTCGTCCGCTCGAAACCCTTGCCTCTATGCCTCCATCCTCTTGACACCAAGGCACTGAAACCACACAACTGTGGCCCCTAACCCTACCTTCTCAGCCCCCTTGTGGCTTTCAACCTCACACCGGGCCCGCCGTCATCAATACCCAGCATGTAGACGTTGGCAAGAGCGCAGATAGCATCGGCGAACATCATGAAGATGAGCAGCGCATCCAGGAGGTTGAAGAGGCCTGCGCGTGCAAGACGTGCATGTGGGACAGACGCTGTAGAACGCGGCGGTAAAAGGTTTACTTGAAGGTTCATTGGTAGTTCTACGTAGGGTTCTGAGTAAGGTAACCTACCTTGAAACCTTCATGATGATACTTATGTTCGACGCGTGGCCTCTGATCAAGCTTGCTGGAGAATATGCCAAGGAACCCTAAACCCTAAACCCTTAACCCTTAACCCTAAACACTAAACCTGAAGTTTGGGCGCCATGGGATTTGAGGGTTCAGCGCTTGGGCGGTTGGGCCTTGGCAAGCTCACAATTTTAGATTCTGAGGCTCTGCCCCCACCTAGCTCGCCACCCGGCCAGGAACACCATCACTGCCCCCATGCAGGGTTTAGGGTAGGGACCCTGAACCCTGAACCCTGAACCCTAAACCCTAAACCCTAAACCCTGAACCCTAAGCCTCAAAAAACGTAGAGGTACGCCCTGGGGCATGACCCCGCCCCCCCTCACCTCCCTTCGCTGTGAAGTAGCTTGCTCCTGGAGGCAGGAAGATTTCGGTTTAGGGTTTAGGATTTAGGATTTAGGGTTTAGGGTTTAGGGTTTAGGGTTTCGACTCTCACACTCGCACAAGGCCGGCAAGGCTTCGGTTGGAGGGTTTAGGGTTTAGGGTTTCGGGTTTCGGGTTTAGGGCTTAGGGTTTAGGGTTTAGGGAAGATTTAGGGTTGAGAGCTACTTTTTTCACAAGGGACTCGACTGCTGCCCGTTCTTGTTCCCAATCGACAGTGCCTATGACTGCAGGACGAGATTCGCCACTAAGAAAGGGCGGTTTAGCAACAGGGCCTTCTTTTGCATCTTCTTGCGTACCATCGGCGCCTTGATGAAATAGAATAGGGTTTTGGGGGGCGAGTATAGTATAACTTTCTAGGGACCATAGGGGGAATACTGTTGGTTCTTCTGCCCCCTGTAGTCTCTGCCTGCGAAACACCAAAACAGCTTGAAGGAAGACAGATCAGCAAACAGGAGCCCTACTGAGGTCCTCTGCTTTCCTGACCAGGCGCTTGAACGCGGTCAACTATCACACACACACACACAGAGATATATACATATATATATATATATATATACACATGTATATATATATATATACCTTTAACAAGAACTTACGCTTCATTTTTGATGTTAATCGAAAACAAAGCGGCAACATGCGGCAAGAGCCACTGGCAACATGAGAGAATCTTTAACAAAACAAAAAAATGCCGAAGCAAAGCCCCTAAACCCCCCCCCCCCCAAGCCCCCTTAACCCGCCTAACTCCTAAATCCCTACACCCTAAACCCTGAACCCTAAACCCTAAACCCTAAACCCTTTTGAACCCCAAACGGCCCGTCTGTCCTGCAGCCGCCACACGGAGCACCAACTCGAGAAGGAACCTGTGGGCTGAAGGGTCCAGGGGTTGAAGGGTCTAGGGGTTTAGGGTTTAGGGTTGAGGGTTGAGGGTTTGGGGTTCAGGGTTTAGGGTTTGGGGTTTAGGGTTTGGGGTTCAGGGTTTAGGGTTTAGGGTTTAGGGTTTAGGGTTTAGGGTCTAGAGGGTCACTGTTCTAGCATTCATTCCAGGCTCAGAAAAAAAACCCACCCGCCCAAAGAATCCCATAACATTAAGAAAATAAACGGTTGTCATCTTCCCCAGAGTACCTACCCAACTCGGACACGTTTTCCACTGAACCTTCCACCGACGAACAATAAATAGGGTCAGATTAGGGGAGGGGACGGGGTGAGGATAGGGGGTGAGAGGGGGGGAGAGAGGGGGGGGAGGGGAGGGGGGGGGGAGGGAGGGGAGGGGCCGACCGAACACTGGGGGGACCAGTGTTTGTGGCTTTTCGGCCAGGCCGAAATCGGCCGAACACTGGGGGGACCAGTGTTCGTGGCTTTTCGGCCAGGCCGAAATCGGCCGAACACTGGGGGGACCAGTGTTCGTGGCTTTTCGGCCGTGGCCGAAATCGGCCGAACACTGGGGGACCAGTGTTCGTGGCTTTTCGGCCAGGCCGAAATCGGCCGAACACTGGGGGGACCAGTGTTCGTGGCTTTTCGGCCGTGGCCGAAATCGGCCGAACACTGGGGGGGACCAGTGTTCGTGGCTTTTCGGCCAGGCCGAAATCGGCCGAACACTGGGGGGACCAGTGTTCGTGGCTTTTCGGCCGTGGCCGAAATCGGCCGAACACTGGGGGGACCAGTGTTCGTGGCTTTTCGGCCGTGGCCGAAATCGGCCGAACACTGGGGGGACCAGTGTTCGTGGCTTTTCGGCCGTGGCCGAAATCGGCCGAAGGTTTAAATATATATAAGAAAGAGAGGGTTCAGGGCTCAGGGTTCAGGGCTCAGGGTTCAGGGTTTGGGTTTTGGCGCAGAAGCTGTGAAGGTTGGGATGCAGACTAGGTTCGAAAATCGTGAAATGCCGGCCAGGGACCGATAGTGGGGGGGGGATCTACCACTCTTGTCCCTCCCCACATTGACTTCCGAAGCGGAACGTGGGGCCGAATCACAACCCCGCTGGAAAATGGCCAGTAGCACTCCATTTTTGTCATCAGCATCAGGGAAGATGAAAGAGGTACCCCAAAAGAGACCCACATGTAGGGAACCCACCACATGAGAAGCCGAATCTATGGCGAGCGAGGCACCTCGAAAATTCCTCTTTTAGAGGTTTTCTCTGCAGCGTTCCCCCTTGAACTTAGGGTTTTCGAGTTTAGGGCGGACTCCCTCTTGGCTTGGGATGGTGCGGGTCGGGGCGCATCAGAGCCATGACGAGCTCGACGACGTCGTAGGCTGTCGCGTCGGCCATATCAGGGAGGTCCTTGGATCACGCTGGTGCTGATCGCATGGAAGAGCAACGGGAAGTAAATCGCGCGAGCATGAGAGCCTTGAGCATGAGAGCCTCCGGCTAAGCTTGGGTGATAGGGCTTGGGATTTCACAAGCGTCTCTACGCCGCAAGTCCTGTGCCGCACTCGTCCTAGACATGGGTAGCACGCACACGGCCATTAAATGAAACAGTCGGCACGCTACGGGGTAAGCTGCTGCTCAGCCCCGACCCCTCTTTGTAAAGAATGGTTTAGGCAACACCGGTCGTTAGGCCACGGCTTCTGCTGCCTGAGCTGTGGAGCGCGCCGACTGGGGTTTGGAGTGCAAGGTATCCTAGTCGGGCCAAAGAAGGTTAACCTTTCAACTATGGTAGGGCTATATATACCCCAAAAGGTTAGAAGTTGCCTACTCAGCTACTACGGTATAGATTTGGGGTCTTGGGGATTCCTTGGCATTTCGCCCACCAAGCCGAGCAGCGGCACGAATGCCAATGATGACGGCGTTGGCAACCACCACCTCGCTTTTGGTACTGAACAGATTGGCAGAAACAATCGAACTTCAACCTCGGGCTGCCTTTAACACCTCGGGCTGCTTAACACCTTGGGCTGCTTGACTCCAATCAACTTTGGGGCACACACACACACACTTCCCAATCTTGGAAACGCGTGGGCCCACGCCGGGGGGGAAGGCCGTGGTAACCTCTCATGACTTCGAAGCAAGCAAGGCCGCATTTGGGGCTTTGGAGCTTAGGAGCTCCCTGAACGCTAAACCCTAAACCCAGAACTTAGGGTTTAGGGTTTAGGGTTTAGGGTTTTAGGAGCTGAGGATTCCAAGAAGATGCATTCCCACAGGTTGCCCGCATGAAGGACCCGAGGACTTCAGAGAAACGCTTGCCCAGCTCGGGCTTCGGGGTGGAGGTCTGATCCGGGGATCCAAGACTAAAGACTAAGCACAACTCCGAATACCAAGAACGAATAACATCAAAAAGACTCATTAATAATACTACTAACACTAGTCATTCTCATACACAGTTCTAGTACCAGTAATAGTATCATACTATAATACTCTACTACGATAATACGAAAATACTATAATACTATGTAGTACAATACTCTAACACTATAACACTCTTACGCCATATCACTAGGATACTATAATTCTCTTATCTCATGATCTACACATACAAAATACTACAATAAGATCAACGCTGACTCTAGTAAGGTACTGCTATGATCTTATACTACGAATACGACACATATGATGCTACGACAAAAGATTAGGTGTACTATAGGGGTCGCAATAATTACCAATAATTTCCCTTATGGCCCCTGTATGATTATACTACAATAACCCTACAATCAACCCAGTTCTGAATCTGAAGGCCTCTAACCCTACACCCTGCGCCCTAAACCCTCAACCCTAAACCCTGAACCCTATGCTATACTAACCCCCACAACCCTACTCTAATTCTTCAGGCCCCTACATTCATCATATTTGTAGGAAATTATTCAGGCCCTAAACCCTAAACCCCAAATCCTAAACCCTAAACCCCAAACCCTAAACCCTAAACCCCAAACCCTAAACCCTAAACCCTGAACCCTACGCTATACTTCTTAGTTGTGGGTGCGAGCGGCCATGGCGCAGGCCATCTCGAAGGCTGTCGTCCTGGCTCGGTTTCGGGGTTTAGGGGTTTAGGGGTTAGGTAGGGGTTTAGGGGTTTAGGGGTTAAGGGCGTTGGGGGTTTAGGGTTTAGGGTTCGGGGTTTAGGGTTTAGGGTTTAGGGTTTAGGGTTTAGGGTTTAGGGTTTAGGGCGTCTCGCCGCGCAGCGGCAGTAAGTACCATGTGTAAATGGCGCCCCTACACACCCAGGGGGTGTGGGGGGGGCGGCATGTCACGCGAAGGCATCTGTTTTCAATGTAATCCAACAATTTCATTGGTGCTGGGTTCTTTCTCCCCACCCGCTGTGAGCTTTCACAGGCCACCACCCAAACCACTACCTTTTAGGGTTTAGGGCTGTCGCCCTCAATTCCCACCAAATAAAACGATTCAAATCTCAACATTTGTGGGGGGGGGGCGGGAGGGGGTGGGGCCAGGGAGGGCCAGAGCGGCCAGGGGCCAGGGAGGGGGGCGCCGGCCAGCCCAGAGAAGGGCCAGGGTGGCCGGGCTGAGAGGGGGGGTCAGGGGGAGCCAGGAGGGGGGACGGCGGGGCCAGGGGGGGCCAGGGGGGGGGCCCTGGGGGGGGGCCAGGGGGGGGCCAGGGGGCGGCCACAGGGGCGGTGGCCGGAGGCACAGGCAAAAAACCCTTTTTTGGGCTCTGGGGGGGTACCCCCCTGGCAGACCCCAGATTTCAGGATTTTCGGGCCAACGACCAGAGGGTCCCGGGAAGGTTCCTAGGGGGCCTCCCGGGCGGCGACGTTCTAGGGCTTTGAGCCGAGGGTTTTTCAGGGGAGTATCTGAGTGCTCCTGTGGCTGGGTGGCCCAGCGACAGCTGGCCATGGGCGAGGCGAGCCCGGGGGGCTCTCTATTCGACCATTCTCCAATGGCTCCACCCATTGTCCATCCAGTAAAGGTGTTCATCACTGCCGGGTATCTTCTGGGTCCAGGCACCCTAGAAAAGGGTGGGTACGGCCTAAGCAGGCCGGGTGGGAATTTAGGGTTTAGGGTTTAGGGTTTAGGGTTTAGGGTTTAGGGTTTAGGGTTTAGGGTTTAGGGTTTAGGGTTTAGGGTTAGGGAGACGGTTTCGGGTTTGGGGTTTAGGGTTTGGGGTTTGGGGTTTAGGGTTTTGGGGGGATCCGTCCTGACGAGCGCCTGCACCCTGTTCGTCACCGGGTTCGAGCGGGTCTTCTGAAGGTGCTCCTCAAAGACCCGAAGCCCCCAAACCCTAAAACCGTAGCCCGAAACCCCAAACAAAACCCTCTTGCAACTGGGCTTGAGGACTAGCCAGACCCGAGCCACCCAAACCCCAAACCCTAGACACCCCAAACCTTAAAGCCCAACCCAATCCCTCGGAGGGAAAAGTGCAGGCTTGGGATAGACTGCTCAGAAACTGGGCCCCCCAGGGTTCGTAGGAATAACCAAGGAACCGTTTAGGGTTCAGGGCTCAGGGCTTAGGGTTCAGGGTGTAGATCTCATGCTCGCCCTTAGAGTGAGCTCCTGCAACCCATCATCCTTTATTCGGGTGGGGTTTAGGGCTGGGGTGACCTTAAACCCTACGAGTACCACCCTGAACCTAAACCCCCCTTTTGAGTTCGGAGCTTACTGGCAGGGAGCGAAGGTCAAGAGCCCTGGTACGCAGGGTGATCAACAGCTCTCTGCCAGGATGGGTTTGCGCAGGGAGAGGCTCAGGTTATTCGAATTATGGAAATATAGGTTTGTTGGTACCACCACTATAGTATGATTGGTACGGCATTCTGGGATTCTACTATCCTAGAAATGCCACTTCACAAGGTGTACCCTTAGGTTTTGGGGTCCCTGTCTAGGGATCTCGAAGGGAATACAGGGGCCATATTTGGATTAAGGGGAACCTTTAGGGGTACAACCTTAGGGGTACGAGTCTTCATCCCTTGATTGAACATTGTTCAAGGGACTAAAGGAGGGACCCTTATAAGGGACCTCAGGGGTTATTTGGGGTTTTTTTAGGGGCTACTTAGGTATAAAGGTGCTACATAAGGTTATGTAAGGGAATAAGATTAAGGGTGCCTGAATCTGGGTCCTTGTTGGGGTTATATTCAAAATTATCATGTTTAATCCTCATTGGGCTCTATAACAAAAATGTAAAATCAACGCCAGACCCAGGCATCCCTTGATGACAATCTGCACAGATGGATGCTGCAAAGGCGCATCGATGACTTTGGAGATCGTGTCGGCAGCCTTGGTGGCGAGCCGCGCAGGACCCAAAACATGTCCGAGATCCGAAACCCTAAGCCCTAAACCCTAAATCCTCACTCCCAAGGTGGCGCCGGGGGGTAATTGTAGAATGACCCTAAACACTAATCCCTAAACCCTAAACCCTAGACCATTGTAGTATAACTATGAAGAGACCATGAGGGAATACTAGAAGTAATTATTCCGACCCCTATACTACATGCGCAAAGCCAAAGACCCTTTAAACCTCCGTCACTTTCTTCCCGGAGCCCAAAGTTAAGGGGTATCAGGAGGGACCCCTAGAAGGGACCCTTAATCTTCTTCCTCCATATAACCCCTATATATGCCTTATATAGCTCCTATATACCTAGGCACTGTAGCCCGTAAATAACCCCTGAAGAACCCCTAAGGTCCCTTACAAGGGTCCCTCCTTTAGTCCCTTGACAAAGAAAACCCCAGAATCAAGTCCCTAATCCCTTAACCGCGTCGCAGCTTCAACCTCTCAACCCTACCCTTTATGGCATCTGGGTTTAGGGTTTAGGCTTTAGGGTTTAGGCCCTGGACCCTAAACCGTTCCTAAACCCTAAACCCTAAACCCTGAACCCTAAACCCTAAACCCTAAACCCTAAACCCTAAACCCTAAACCCTTCCTCCAGGCGACTCCCTTCGGCCGCGAAATGGAGCTTGCCTCGGATCCTGCGCGGGGCGCCCCCGCCACACCCGCCGGCGTGTTTAGGGCTTGGGGTCTCTAGATTTAGGATTTTGGGGCGTTCTGAGTTTTTGGGTTTTAGGGGTTTAGATTTTAGGGTGGGGGAGGGGGGGTTTTCAGTTTTAGGGTTTTAGGGTTTAGGGTGTGGGCCTTTTGTTTTGCCTTGGGCTTTTTGAGTTTTAGGGTTTGGGGTTTAGAATAGGCATTTGGCAGCCATAGTTCGAGAACCTATTCGCTTGCCAAAAGCTCTGCTACCCTACGGACGCCCGCAAAACTCGATGCGCAACTCCAAACCGCACAGTTGGGATGTTTAGGGTTTAGGGTTTAGGGTTTAGGGCTTAGGGTTTAGGGTTTAGGGTTTAGGGTTTAGGGTTTAGGGAGTAGAATAGGGGCACTATAATCGCTATGAAGGACTGTATAAGGGGCAACATCCCAACCCCACAGCCTGCAAGCCCGAAGGCACCAACATGCTGTTTAAACTTGAACCCCCAAAACCCCAACCCTAAACCCTAAACCCTAAACCCTAAACCCTAAACCCTAATAAACCCTAAACCCTAAGCCGTTTAAGGTTTAGGGTCTCGGGTTTAGGGTGTAGGGTTTAGGGCTTAGGAAGAGGTCAGAACCTCAAAAAGTGAAAACAAAAATAAGCTTGGAATCCTAGGGATCCTGGGAGGTTTAGGGTTTAGGGTTTAGGGTTTAGGGTTTAGGGTTTAGGGTTTAGGGTTTCGGGTTTCGGGTTTAGGGTTTAGGGTTTATGAGAAGGTTAGGGGTCAATTCGAAGCGGTCTTCGTAAGGGCTTAGTGTTTAGGGTTCAGGGGTGAAGGGGGATATTCTGGCACATTCGGGGTGTAATGGACTTTGGGAAGCATACAAATCCTACACGCTCTTGCAAAGCTTGATTCTAGCTTGGACCTGATGGTCCAACCAAACACTGGACGACATCACCTGGCGCCAAGCGTCGCTGGCAATCGCTGGCCCCGCTAGTGTGGCTCTTCTTGGACGTCTTCCGCGCGGATGGCCCATACGAGACACCACCTCCTGGAGGGGGCAAGAATGAGAAAGTGTTGGTGTGGTTTGTTGCCTTGCACAGCGAATATGGGTGTACATACACATAGCTCTGCCAATGCACATCTGCGCATTTATCCACGTACATATTTCGAGGGGCTCTAAGGGGCCAGTTCCTTGGACGCTGGATTTGGAGGGGTGTGATCTGAACTGTGCCGGCCCGAGCTCGCTTGTATAGGGTTTTGGGGGTAGCGGTTTAGGGGCTCAAGGGTGCCATATTTTGCGGAAACCCGAAAAGGGTCCAGGGTTGAGGGTTTAGGGCTTATAAGTCTGCACGTCCACCTAGTATGCACTTGGTTTTCGCGGGCGGCGAATCATGCCAGGCCTGCTTCGCATGTACATGCGCCCAAGAGTATTTAGGCCATCAAGTCTAACCCCCATGCAACACTGCACACAACATGCGCAAGCTTGCACAGCGCACTTTTTGCTAGCCTCAGGGTTTAGCCTCAGGGTTTACGCGGCGCTGTCTCAGGGTTTAGGGTTTAGGGTTTAGGGTTTAGGGTTTAGGGTTTAGGGTTTAGGGTTTAGGGTTTAGGGTTTAGGGTTAGGGTTTAGGGTCAAACCCTAGACCCTAAACCCTGAAAACCTTTTTGAGCGCCTGTGGCGGAGACAGGTACTCCGGCAATGTTGCCCTCGGCGGGTCCGAGGTCCCATCCCGCATCGTCGTCATCGTCCGAAAGGGCCACTTCCTCAGACACACTTTGGGATGCTCCTCCTTATACTGACAGTCCTTTTTCGGGATAAAAATCCCCTTAAGGACTGCATAAGGATTCTAGTACCCCCTATGGTAATCCCTATTAAGGACTGCATGAGGCTTATAGTATCCCCCCTATTGCAATCCCTACTAAGGACTGTTAGTATAAGGGGCACATCCCCAGATACACTACTGGAAGGTTCATGGGTAGCTATATGTAGGGTTCGAAGAAGGCAACCAAATTTACGACCTAAACTAGGGTACTTGAAACCCTACTTCTCACTACCCATGTACCTGCAAGTACGCCTGAGCCCTGAACCCTAAACCCCAAACCCTAAACCCTGAACCCTAAACCATACTCATATCAAATACACTCGGCTTTCTGAGTCATGGCACTGGATCACAACAGCTAGCCGTGAAGTCGAAGTAGGCGCCGACGCGTGTGTGGAGCCGAAGCTCCAGCTCTTCTGGGGTTTTCTTTCTGAGGGGAGAACCGCTTCTGCGCCAAGCCCTAAACCCTAAACCCTAAACCCTAAACCCTAAAAACCCTAAACCCGAAAGCCGAAACCCGAAACCCTAACCCGAAACCCTAAACCCTAAACCCTACACCCTAAACCCTAAACCCTGAACCCTCGAAAGGCCGCTTCATGAATGCTTTTCGGGTCGCTGTCCGAAGAGTTGATGCTTCTCGCACACAGGTATCCTTTGTGGCGCTGCATGTGCTGGTAGCTGGGCAGCCGACCTCCCAAACTAACAGAGGAAACCGTGAAGCCGCATTATTCGAAGAGAGATTCGGTTTAGGGTTTAGGGTTTAGGGTTTAGGGTTTAGGGGTTAGGGGTTAGGGGTTAGGGGTTAGGGGTTAGGGGTTAGGGTTTAGGGCTTAGGGCTTAGGGTTAAGGTTTAGGATTCAGGGTTCAGGGTTCAGGGTTTAGGGTTTAGGGTTTAGAGTTTAGGGGTTAGGGTGTAGGGTTTAGGGTTCAGGGTTTACGGTTTAGGGTTTAGGGATAGTCGCGATGGACCTCCACGCCTGCTCTAGAGTGGGGGGCTGGCTGGTGAGTGGGGCAAGAGATTAAAACAAGTGCCCGACGACTGTAGTTCCTAAGTTCGGGGGTGTGGGGGGTTAGGATAGAGGCTCTAACATATCCAGGCTCCCCTAAACCCTAAACCCTAAACCCTAAACCCTAAACCCTAAACCCTAAACCCTAAACCCTAAACCCTAAACCCTAAACCCTCGGCTTCTGGAAGCTGGGACCCCACAGATGTTTTGATGCCAAACTTTCCCAAAGAACTTGCCCTGGCCAGCACAGACACACGAAAACATATAGGTGGTTCTAAACCCTAAACCCTAAACCCTAAACCCTAAATCCTAAACCCTAAACCCTAAACCCTAAACCCTAAACCCTAAACCCTAAACCCTAAACCCTAAACCCTAAACCACACTACGGCACCTAATGTTGAGGGTACCCCAAAAGGGACCATAATTGTGACAGCCACCCATATGGGAGTCTACTAGAATGCCCTCTCAAGGAAGAATGCTGTTCTTTGGGGTGTTCTTAAGCAAATAGGAGTTGACCAAAATGGGGGACCCCAATCTAGACCCCCAAAATGGTGGGATCCCCTTATTTGTAAGGATCCCAAGCAGGTGCCCCTAATGTCTCAAACCCCCACAGCTAGCTATCTGTCTAAACCTATTTGTCTGCATATGCAATATGTGTGCATGCGACGGCCTGGGGTGTGGAAATTTAGGGTGTGCTCGCGCTAGCGCGGACTTAACGCTCAAGACCATTCAGAACTGCTGTGATATCGGACGTCCTCCAAAGCCCCAAGCCCTGTGCAGCTGAATCGTTAAGCCTTATGCCGGCCTAAACTCGTTAAACCCTAAACCCCTAAACCCTACACCCTCAACCCTAAACCCGGAACCCTAGACCCTCACTCATTTCAGGCATTAAAAAAAACTGGTCTCAGGCTGGGGCGAACAAACCTGAAGCTCCCAGGCCCAAAGCCCAAAAAAACATCCCTGACAAAACTTTCAGCATCCCTCTAAACCCTAAACCCTAAACCTTAGATCCTAAACCCCTCTAGGGTTTAGGGTTTAGGGTGGAAGCTGCTTCATGCCGGTTTGGGGCTTGGGGTTGAAGCCCCGAAACTCCTGGGAACCCGCGACCCTTACAAGTTCTAACCTTCAACCCTAAACCCTAAACCCTAAACCCTAAACCCTAAACCCTAAACCCTAAACCCTAAACCCTAAACCCTAGCCCTCAACCCCAATCCCTAAACCCTAAGCCCTGAAAGCCCTAAGCGGATCCTGTGACTTCGGGGTGGCTTGGTGAGGCGACCTGGACACGCCTCGAAGGTTGCAGGGCTTTGGCGGTTTAGGGTTCGGGTTTGGCAGTTTAGGGTTTAGGGTTTAGGGTTTAGGGTTAGGGTTTAGGGTTTAGGGTTTAGGGTTTAGGGTTTTGGGTTTTGGGTTTTGGGTTTTGGGTTTTGGGTTTTGGGTTTGGCAGTTTAGGGTTAGGGTTTGGCAGTTTAGCGTTGCGGTTTTCGGGAATGGGGAAATAGGGTTTAGGGTTTAGGGTTGGGGTTTGGGGTTTGGGGTATGGGGCAGGGCTTAAAGCCTTTGAGAGATTTGGGGGTTGGGGGGGGGGGGGGGGGGGGCCTGCGAAGGGTCCGAAGCACGAAACCAACAACTGTGTTGCAGGATCTTCTCCTAAGCCACCCTAAACCCTATAAGCCCTAAACCCTACAAACCCCAAACCCTGTAAACCCCAAACACTATACACCCAATAAACCCTGAAAAAACCTAAACCCGAAACCCCGAAGCCCCCAAACCCTTTTGCTGCCGGACTGCTTCAGTAAGCCCCCTAAACCCTGAACCCTAATTCTCCAACTCGATTCTCACTGTATCCCGACCTCTGGCCCAAAACCTTCTCTTACACACATCTGAGATATAAACACATTCCAAACAAAGACTTTTGCAGCCAAAACAGACAACTTCATTAGAGGAATACCTACTTGAAGGATCATGGGTAGTCAGAAGTAGGGTTAGAAGTACCCTCCAAGCGGCGATGATATAGGCTACCTTGCTTATCACCCTACTTAGAATGAACCTTCAAGTAACTTAAAGGTGGGCCAACACATCCTACACGCCAAACGTACCAAAAAAACAAGACCTCATTCAAAAAAGAAACGAGGCTCCCGGCCCTCTTTTCTTGGCTTTGCCAAAACCCGAAACGCTAAATCCCTAAACTTTAAAGAACCTAAACCCGAAACCCTACAAGTCCCCAAACCCGAAACCCCACACACACCCTAAACCCTAAACCCTAAACCCTAAACCCTAAATCCTAAATCCTAAACCCTAAACCCTAAACCCTAAACCCCTCCAGACGTCTCCACACTTCCGCCAGGGAGCCATTGGCGAACTTCAGCGCCTCATGAAGCTCCAGCCTGTTGTGCTTTTCCAACGGGTTTGAGGATTTAGGGTTTAGGGTTTAGGGTTTAGGGTTTAGGGTTTTTTTTTTAAGGGTTAAGGGTTTAGGGTTTAGGGTTTAGGGTTTAGGGTTTAGGGTTTAGGGTTTAGGGTTTGGGGTTTTGGGGTTTATGGCTTGTAGGGTTAGGGTTTTAGGGGAATTTAGGGTTTAAGGTTTAGATGCCCTGTAGTTAAAGGTTTGAGGGTTTCATGGGTTTGGAGGTGTTTTGGGTTCGGCGTTTGGGCTTTACAGAGGTGTAGGGCTTTGGTTTTTCACAGGTTTTTGGGGGGGTTCCGGGGTTTTTGCACTGGGGGTTTAGCTCAGAGCACAGAGGCTGCTTAGGGCTTTTTGTTGGGCTTAGGGGCATCCATGGGCTGCAACAGGAAACAGGACCTGTTTCAGAGGGGTCTTCGAGCTTCGGGTTTAGGATTTAGGACTTGGGGAGCAACTTAGGGTTAGAGTTTGGTATTTACTACTTTTCGCTTAAGAACCCTGCCCCCCCCCCCCCCGGAAAAAAAAGAATGAACATATTCTTCCTCATAAGGGAAATAGAGGGAGCATTATCTTTTCTACCTTTTGGGGGTTCTTAAGCAACTAGCCGTTCAGGGTTTAGGGTTTAGGGTTCAGGGTTTAGGGAAACTTTTCTTCGGATGGAAGGGGCGCATCTTGAATCGGCACGCGCATGGTCATTGCGCGTCAAGGCAAGCCCCTCGGTTCATCTTATCCTCGGGTTTAGGGTTTAGGGTTTAGGGTTTAGGGTTTAGGGTTTAGGGCTTAGGGCTTAGGGCTTGGGGCTTAGGGCTTAGGGCTTAGGGCCCGTCTTCTTCTTTACTTTCTGGGATATCGATTCGCTCTGCAATGCTTAGCCAACATCGCCAGGCTTGCTTGAGGGTTCACATTTACGTAGAAGGCAACCCTACTTTTCGCCTTGCTTCAACGTACTCCTGGACCCGCAAGGCTTGTGTGAAGTAGGGGCGCAAGGAATTCGGGGCACCAAAACCCTTTGGACCCAGACTCGGACGAGCCCTAAACCCTAAACCCTAAACCCTAAACCCTACACCCTAAACCCTACACCCTGAACCCTAAACCCTAAACCCTAAACCCTAAACCCTAAACCCTAAACCCTAAACCCTAAACCCTAAACCCTAAACCCTACACAATCCCTTAAGCGAAGTACCCAAGCCCCAAACACCAGAAGGCTTGGCCTAACTCCAGGGATGGCTTCACGGTTTGGGGTTCAGGGTTGGGATGCTCCCCCTTACACTAACAGTCCTTAAAAGGGATTACAAGAGGGGGGTACCATAATCCTCATGCAGTCCTTAATAGGGATTACAATAGGGGTACTATGATCCTTATGCAGTCCTTAAGGGGGATTTTTATTGGGGTACTATAATCCTTCTGCAGTCCTTAAGAGGGATTATAATAGGGGTACTATGATCCCTATTAAGGACTGTTTGTTAGTATAAGGGGGAACGTCCCATGTTTAGGGTTTTGGGGTTGTGGGGCTTGAGGCTTGGGGGCCAGAGCGGGGCGATGTCAACAAGGGGGCCTCTTCACTGCCGGCCACGCGCGCCCGGCGAACAAAGCACTTTTGACCACTACTCCCATTGGCGCGGGCGATCTTACTACTCATACGTTACCACAACCAGGCATGACAAGAGAGGCCAACAAAAAAGACCCCTAGCTCAGATCCTTCCCCCTTTGCGCGAAAAGCAATTGCAAACTCCAGATGCCCAACACTCTCAGCGTCACCCTTGGAGCCGCCTAAACCCTAAACCCTAAACCCTAAACCGTTTTGCTCCAGGGCTCTCTCACGAGCCTGGCAATGAGGGACGACTCACAACAGCAGGGACTTCAGACCGTGTTAGTTTAGTCGGGTCTGCACTCGTTTGAGACGAACCCCACTACTCCACTTTCAAAAACATGCGGCCCCGCCCTCGAAGCTAAGGGAGACGGAGCAACGATTGCAGATTCGACTCTCTCTGAACAGCCGAGGCGCTCAGGGAATATCAGCCCTATCCGTCTGAAACCCTAAACCCTAAATCCTAAACCCTAAAACCCTAAACCCTTGTCCCCCGTCCCCCGTCCCTCCCGCAGCCTGGTGTCTTCCAGGAGCCTGCGCCGGAGCTTCCCCAACTCCTCCTGAAAAATTGCCTCGGGCTCTCCGCGGGGTTTAGGGTTTAGGGTTTAGGGTTTAGGGTTTAGGGTTTAGGGTTTAGGGTTTAGGGTTTAGGGTTTAGGGTTTAGGGTTTAGGGTTTAGGGTTTAGGGTTTAGGGTTTAGGGTTTAGGGTTTAGGGTTTAGGGTGTGGCAACGTTCTTCGCGCGCGTCGTGGGCCCTCTACATGGGCTTTCACCGGCCCACTGGTTGGTGCTCTTATCCGCAGTGGGCCTGTTCCACTGCAGCCGTGCGGCTGTCTTAAAGCGTCCCTCGTTCAGTTCAGACAGCAACGGTGGATGTTGGCACGGGGGGCTGGCAGCCCCGGCTTGACCTGCAGGTGAGTAAAGGCCGGGGGCCCGCAGCCGGAAAACGGGGCTGCCAAAACTGGTTTTTCGGGCCGGCAAAGTCTTTAAGTTCGTCTCGGTGGGACCGGCTGATGAGGCCGGGGCGTGGAGCATCCTGGCGGGACGTCCATGCAGAAGTGCGTGGGCTGGCTGAGAGCCGAAAAACCCAGCGGAGCGCCTCTTTCGGCCAGGACCAGCCAACCCCGAGACCCTCATACAGATAGGAGAGGAGTCACGAAAACCGTGTTGCGTTGAAGAGGCAACAGTGCCGTGGTGCAGCGAGCCGTAGCTTCAGCCAGACAATCCTTTTCTCGGAACGTGCTGGGGTCCCCAGAGACTGGGGGCGGGGCGGGGGGGGGGGGTGGGGTGGGGCCGGGAGGGGTGGGGGGGGGGGGGGGGGGGGGGGGTGGTGGCGCCGGCGCGTTGAACCTTTGACACTCAAAGGCTCGACCGCCTGGCGCGCACGGCTGTGTGGTCATCTTGTCAAGGCGTTCAGCAGCCACAGCTTTACCTGGGCTGCACGTGGTGTGTGGTCAGGTCGCTCGCTGAGCGCTCGGACGGCTTCGGGCTCTCACGTGGTGGTAGCGATCCCCCGCCGGACTTTAGGGTTTAGGGTTTAGGTTTAGGGTTTAGGGTTTAGGGTTTAGGGTTTCGGGTTTGGGGTTTGGGGTTTAGGGTTTAGGGTTTAGGAATTAGGGTTTAGGGTTTAGGGTTTAGGGTTTAGGGTTTAGGGTTTAGGACCATCAGGGGACCCTTAGAAGGGACCTTAAGGGTGGAATGTAGTGATCTGGGGGCTACTTAAGTATAGGGACTCTACAAGGCAGCTTTAGGGGTTATATAGGGGACTAAGATTCAGGGTCTGCTTCTCTCCTTCTAAACCAAGGCGTTGGTTGGACTTTTGAGATTTTGGGGGGGGCCTTCAACCGCTCACGACTACCCAGAGGCAGAATTCCAAAAAGCAGAGTCCCCCCCCCCCCCCCCAAAGTAGCACCCTCCCTAAACCCTAAACCCCCTATCGGGTCCATCTCAGAAACTTTTAAGGGGATCTACGTTCCGGATCCTCCCAGGGGGCTGTCTCGATCTGCTCCGAGGGCTTTTTGAAACAGGGCGAGGCTTTCTACTCGAGGACACGAGGACACCAATTGAGAGAGAACCCCCGAGACAGCAGGCCAAAAGGGCAGCAGCTTGCTGAAAGAGTCCTGGCCCGGTTGAAGCACCCGAACCCCCGCGCTTCAGGCCCCAGTTTTGAGGGTTTAGGGTTTAGGGTTTAGGATTTAGGGTTTAGGATGTAGGGTTTAGGGTTTAGGGTTCAGGTTTTCGGGCTACTAAATCCAGATAGAAGCCCTCTCCACCCCCGAAGCCCTGAGCCCGCTTTTGAGCCCCTTTGAACCCGGTACTGAGCTCCTTTCCCTCAACCCTAACCCTAAACCCTAAACCCTTATGAGCCCTAAAGACCCTCAACTCCCCCCTGCTCACTTCCAACCGCCGCCAAGGAGCCCTCAGGGTGTCTTGGCTGGCCGTGTCAAGCATGCTTTTGCAGTGCTTGCCAAAAATGAGCCCCGGCGGTCAAGCCCTAGACCCTAAGCCCTAAACCCTCAGAAACCCTACAGAAACAACAACACTGCGTGGGACTCGGCCCCCCAAAACCTTCTGAGAACTCCGAGGGTGATGGGCCGAAACGTCACCGATTTGTGCTGGGATGCCGTGGGCGGGGTGGGACAACTTCAAACCCTCAGAGCCTAAACCCTAAACCCTAAACCCTAAACCCTAAACCCTCAGAGCAAACACGCTGAGAAGCCAGCTGCGGCAGGTGCTTTAAGGGTGCAGACACCCAGGGGAGCAGTTTAGGGTTTTAGGGCTTTTGGAGTTTTGAAGGGCTTTTAGGCTTCTTGCTTTGGGGGAGGGCAGGGGGCGGGGGGGAGGGGGGAGGAGGGGCAAGTTTCAACTCGGCTCGGGGCGCTGGAGCGGGGATTCAGAAACTGTCGGCAAAGAAGGGTTCTGAGAATATTGAAACTGCCATCCGGGGACTGCCGAGCTTTCATTTCCTGCCTGGGGGTGCTTCCCTGCGTTCTGAACTCTTCTAGACCCAAGAGTCACCTAGGAATATGAAAAGGGTGCCCTTTTTGGGTTAAAGGGGCTTGTAAGGAAGCCTAAACCCTAAAACAAGGGAGTAAGTGCCCACTCTGGGTGCGAACCTTTCTTGGTGGCTTCTTAGGCCTTCAGGTTGAGGGCTGAGGCTTTCGGGTGTAGATCCTTAAGCCCAAGCCCGAAACCTTTTTCAACCCTGAACCACCAGAAAATGAGTCGGATGTTGTAGGCCTGAGCAAGGCCAGTCTAGCAACCCGAACTTCGGCATCCGCAACTCAACTCAAAAGAATACACTTAATGCCCAAAACCATGCCCGAACCCTGGACCACGTACCTTGAGCCAATCCCTAGCAACCCCACCCCACCCCCCCCCCCCCCCCAAAAAAACAAAAAAATGCACCGGCACACAACAGATGTTGATCTGGGAGGTGTTGGAATACGATATTAGCCGATCATGTCACGAACATTTCCTTCGCGAAAGTCTTAGAAAGTTGCTGGTTTGGTTGGAAAAGACCCAGAGGCAACACGAAGAGTTCACACAAAGTGACGAAGATGTCATATGCGGAAGGCTGTTCTAGGAATGTCCGCGTTCTAGATTCGGATGCTGAGAACTTACTGGCTCTTCGTGTGTGTGTATATATATATATACAGATATTATTTGTTTATATTTATACTTATATTTAGACTTATATTTATATTGATATTGGTATTTATATTTATATTCATGTTTCTATTTATATCTATATTTCTATTTCTATTTAGATTTATATTTATATGTATATATATATATATAATATTATGCAAAATAGATAGATAAATAGATAGATGGATATTCACGTCGTTCTTCTTTTATCCATTTATTCACTGTGATTTTTGGTGTTATGACTGGGAATTCGGGAACTGCCCAAGAACGAGCAAGATCGGCTGGGCAGAAGGCAACCGGGACGCCTCCTGCTCCGCCAGCACCTCAACTTGAAGGTTCTCAAGGGTAGCTGCATGTAGGGTTTAGGGTTTAGGGTTTCGGGTTTAGGGTTTACGGTTTACGGTTTGGGGTTTAGGGTTTCGGGTTTAGGGTTTAGGGTTGACGGTTTGGGGTTTAGGGTTTCGGGTTTAGGGTTTAGGGTTTAGGGTTTGGGGTTTAGGGTTTGGGGTTTAGGGTTTAGGGTTCAGGGTTTAGGGTTTAGGGTTTAGGGTTTAGGGCTTCGACGCTCACACTGACACGAGGCAGGGTTTAGCGCTCAGCGCCTACGGTTTAGGGTTTAGGGCTTAGGGTTCGAGGTTTAGGGTTGAGGGTCGGTCTAACTCTACTGATAGCTACCCATGAACCTTCAAGAACGTCACCAGAGCTACTTAGTCGCTGACTCTCGCACACGGCAGGGAAAGGAAGGCTTCAAAGGTTCGCTAGTCAGCTCACTACTACTTGCTTAAGAACCCCCCACGATGTACAAACATTCTTCCTCACAAGGGTAATGTAGGGATGATGATGTTTTTTGCAGCGGGGGGTTCTCAAGCACGTAGTAGCTCATAGGACTGAGGGTTCAGGGTTCCTACATATTTAGGGTTCAGGATTCTAGGGCTAAGGGCTCCTGCATAGGAGAGACGTCTTGAGCTTGTTCTCCTTGTGGAGCATTCTAAGTAATGATGAGAAGGGACACCTGCGGGTAGTTATCAAGATTATGGTGCCTTCTGTGAATACCCGGAGGACCCCAAACGGGACCATCGTTTAGAGAAATGACCATGCGGCTTTTCTGGGGGGTGCTCGAACTCCTGCGATAAGGCTGAACTCGTGTCCACTTCGCAGGGTCTTGGCTCGACTTGTGGGCAAAACTCATCTGCTGTGTCTCCCCAATACGAATTTGGGTTTAGGATGTTGAAATGGGGGGGAAATACTTTGGGGCGAAATACTTTGCAATGGTAGCCCCTTAGGGCCCCTGCATTATTCTCATACTAACTCACCAGGCACTACACCCATTATCTGCGTTGTGGGATGATGAGCGCTTAAGGAGGGGCTGGAGGGATAGTAAGGATGTGACATAGTCCCGCAGGGCTGCGACAAGGCCGACCGGCAATGCCTCGCCAACACATGGAATGCAAGGCTTAATTGGATGTGAATTCTGGGGTGTGCGGTGTCGGGCCCTTAGGTTGTGCGATTTTGTGCGACTGTGCTCGATGACAATGGTCTGACACAGCTGGCAGCCTGCCTATTCGCAAAACTTGTGTGTGCGTATATTCCAACTTTTACGTACTCGTACAGGTATACACTATCGGCATCTAAACTCTAAATAGGGCTTCCGAGGGCTCTAACAAAGACTGGGCTCTGAGCGAGTTTCTTCAACAGGCAGCCGGTTAAACAGACCATATGGTTTAGGGCTGAAGGCTAAGAAAATGACACCTTGACGCATCCCGCAAGAAGCGAGAGGTGGTCTCATGAGTTGAGTCAAAAACAGCGGGGGGGGGGGGGGGGGGGCTCACTCGGGTTCGCACTAACGTGGAGGAGACATCGCCAGATTCCTAGCCAGCTGAATGGCCGACCTGGCCGAAGAGACCTACACACGGTAGCTGACGATAAGCCCTAAACCCTAAACCCTAAACCCTAAACCCTAAGGGGGGTGGAAGGGTCCATGAGCTGCCCTTTTTTGCATCTGGGCTCCGATAGGCCAGCTGGGTTGTCTTCATTGCTCTATATCTTCGGAGGGGCGGTGGTCTTTGCAACTTACGTCTTTGGGTGTGGCACTTTTTGCATGACAGGTTTCGCTATTTGCTTAAGAACCCTCGAAAAGTAGAAGAGATTCCTCTTGTACCTTTGATGGAAAGGGCAAAAGCGGGCCGTCAGATACCAAAAGGGACCTAACTGTTGGACCTATCTGGACCTCATCAACCCCCGGACACAACAACCGAAAGATGTGTCTTTTTCACACTGGACTCTACAGACCCTGAACCCTAAACTCTAAACCCTAAACCCTACAAGGAGGGCCCCCAAGTAACAAGTAGAGGTATGAGGGCCCTAAATTTGGTGGTAAGGACTCTAAAATAATTAGGTTGCAAGTCCCTGAAAAACTATCGGGCCCCTCCTGGTAAACCCTAAACCCTAAACCCTAAACCCGGCCGGGCCTTGGGAATGCGACACACGCCCAAGCCGTCAAGCCTCAGTCTGCAGAGGCGTCTGCAAACAGTGGGTTTAGGGTTTAGGGTTACGGTTCAGGGTTTAGGGTTTAGGGTTCAGGGTTTAGGGTTCAGGGTTTCGGGTTTCGGGCTTAGGGTTTAGGGTTTAGGGTGTCGTGGGCTTTAGGGTTTGGGGGTTTACGGCCTGAGGCTTTACGACTTTCAGGGCAACTCGGAAATGCCAGGTGAACCCTGAAACCCAAAACCACGAAACCCTGAAGCCTTAAATCCTAAACGCGAAACCCTCTTGCATCCAGGCTTGGGTGAGCGTGCCGGGAAAGAGCTCATGCTGCCCAGGTTCATTGTAAACCCATCGCAGACAAGCACACCAAAGGAAGCAGCACGTGTGGAAACCCTAAACCCTGAAACCCCAAAACCCTGAAACCCAAATCCTTCTGAAGCCTTCAATCCTGAATATAAAACCCTAAACCCAGAAGCCTGAAACCCAAAACCGCGAAACCCTAAACCTTGGGATGTTCCCCCTCAAAAAACAGTCCTGGATAATGGGGATTCTAACAAGGGGTACTATAATCCCTATTCAGGACTGTACTAACAGTCCTTTTTAGGGCTTAGGGTTTAGGGTTTAAGGTTTAGGGTTTAGAGTTTAGGGTTTGGGGTTTAGGGTTTAGGGTTTGGGGTTTAGGGTTTAGGGTTTAGGGTTTAGGGTTTAGGGTTTAGGAGGGATTCCTAAGAGGCCAGGTCCGGGCGCCCTTAAGGACCCCGCAGCTTGCCCACCTTTCCCGCCTCCGCCAGAGCCGATGGATCGAGGGTGACCTCCTCATGGGCTATGGGTTTGGGGTTTGGGGTTTAGGGTTTGGGGTTTAGGGTTTAGGGTTTAGGGTTTAGGGCTTAGGGCTTAGGGCTTAGGGCTTAGGGTTTTTTGGGGCATGGTTCGAGGCTTTTCTGGGTTTTTCTGGCAGGCTGTTTTGATTTGTTAATGGTGTTGTGTTTGTGCGTATGCGTGCTTTGTGTTTCGTTTTTGTTTAAGTGGGTCTTTGGGTCTTTTTGGCCACCCTAGCCACACTGCGGGGTTTAGGCCTTAGTAAGGTGCAGATACGACCTCAGTTTGGGTGTGGGGCTTAGGCATCTTGCAAGCCATCAATTTGATGGGCTTTGCTTCATGGTTGTTCAACTATCATCCTAAACCCTAAGCCGTGGCTAGAAGGTTGACAGGCCTCACGACTCTTGTGCGAGGCCCATGAAATCCGAGACAGCCCCACTTAAACCCCACTTACACCCAGGGTTTAGGGTTTAGGGTTTCGGGTTTCGGGTTTCGGGTTTCGGGTTTAGGGTTTAGGGTTTGGGGTTGAGGGTTGAGGGTTGAGGGTTGAGGGTTGAGGGTTGAGGGTTGAGGGTTGAGGGTTTAGGGTGGTCTCAGGGCTTGGGACGTTCAGGCGTTGAGGCTTCGGGATTTCCATGGGGGTTGTTAGCTCTCTTGCAATAAAAGGGGCCGGGCAAAGCGACGTTATGAGGGTTAGGGCCGGTTAGGGTTTGGGCCCTGGGTTTCAGAGTTACGGGTTTGGGCTCCGGGCGGGTGAACAGCAGGGATGAGGGTCACATGGGCTCAACGTTTTCAAGTTGGGGAGTCCAGCCTTGGTTTCTGAGAACTTGTTCCCTTTCGACGACGAGCCGACCACAAGAAGCATGGGGACAAGGAGCCACGTCGTGAGTTTTATCTCAAGAGCAGGCGCACCGTCGGCCTGCAAGCGTAACTATCCACCTTGTCCGCCCCTGCCTCCAGCAGCAAGCACAGCACCTCAGGTTGGTTGCGATGAGCTGCCATACCGAGAGGCGTGCGGCGCTCGTGACTGTCAATAATCTCTGTGTTGCATTTGGCCTCCAGGAGGAGGCGCACGATTGCTGCGCTGTTGAGGCGGCACGCGGCGCAAAGTGGGGAATCTTGATCCCAAGCCCTGGTCTTGTCGGAATCGGCACGGTTTTCCAACAGGAGCCGCACGATCTCCACGTGGCCCGTGGCGGCAGCCGCATAGAGGGGCGTGTAGCACCGGAAGTCCCTTGCGTCCTTGTCGGCTCCGGCAGCGAGCAGAAGTTGCGCAACCTCAAGGTGGCCCAGACGAGCAGCTGCACCAAGAGGTGTGTAGCCTCTCTTGTCCCGCTTGTCTGTGTTGGCTCGGGCTTCCAAGAGCAACCGCACAATCTCCACGTGGTTCCTACTGCAAGCAGTCGGGAGCGCCACATAGCCGCTTCTGTTGGCACAGTTTAGATCTTCGGTTTGCCGCAGCATCCATTGGACCTCAGGCACGTGGCCACAGACAACGGCAGCCACGAGATGCTCTGCCTGCTGTTCTGTACTGGCGAGGGTCTCCAAAACCAACATCAAGTCAACAGGCTCTCTCAGCTCATCAACATCACGCAAGCAGTCGCCGTCGTGCAGAATGCTCTGCAAGGAAACGGGGAAACCATGCAACCTGCGCAGCTCCTCTTTCAAGCTTTGCACCGTCCCCATGCCCTCCTCTACAGGGATAGCCGCCACCTCTGCCCCCGAAAGCCCGCAAACACGGAGCATGATGGCGAAGGTCGCAGAGGGTTTAGGGCTTAGGGTTTAGGGTTTAGGGTTTAGGGTTCAGGGTTTAGGGTTTAGGGTTTAGGGTTGAGTCGGTTGAGTCGGTTGAGTCGGTTGAGGGTTTAGGATGGGCTGAAATTGGAACGTTTGTTGACATGTAGATATACATACATATATGCATAGACGCATAGCTGCATTGATGCATAAATGAATACATGACCTTTAAAGTCGATTTGTGTATCTATGTGTGCACATATGGCTTGTGACCGCAAATGCGTCTCACGCAGTTTCCCGGGCGCCGCATAATGTGTTTTTTAGTTTTTATATTGCTCACCTCGGGTACCACCTTGTATTGGAATCACATCATTTCCAAACATCGCAAGTCGCTCCAGCTGGTCTTTCTTCACGCGGCACACTCGCGGGCTTTGCTGTGACAGAACTCAAATTACAACACTAAACCCTCAACCCTAAACCCTAAATCCCAAACCCCACCCAGGCCCTAAAAACAATGAACGCCCCATACAGTAAGTCACAAGCCCTGGAGCTCTCTAGAAAGGCCCAGCGCTAAAACCCTTAAAGCCCAAATATAGGGTCCATAAGGGAGGGGGGTTCCTAGGGGGTAGGTACCTAGAAACCTTAGGGAAGCCCAGACAGCCCTAGGGAGTAGTGGGGAGTATTAGTGAACTTTGAGTTACCTTAAACCCCAAACGCTAAACCCTAACTGAGAACCTTGTGCGCCTATCAATCTCCGAACTCCCTGAGGCGTAATTAGATGGGGGAATAGACATCCCGAAAGGCGCGTTTGCCCTCAAACCTTAACTTTTGTAACCCTCAACCCTCAACCCGAAACCCGAAACCCTAAACCCGAAATCCTAAACCCTCAACCCTAAACCCGAAACCCGAAACCCTAAACCCTAAACCCTAAACCCTAAACCCTAAACCTCTAGGAAGCCGGAAGCCCTAAAGCTGCCTCTGGCCTGAAGAGCCTCGCAAGGCTTCGGGAACAGGATCTCCCATCCCCACACCGTCTACAGTACGCAAGCCAGCCAAACTTTAGGGTTTAGGGTTTAGGGTTTAGGGTGTAGGGTTTAGGGCTTAGGGCTTAGGGCTTAGGGCTTAGGGCTTAGGCCTAAACTCAATTTGCTAGTTTGCGTTCTTATTGCCTCCTCTTTGGGCATATGAAATGCAGGGAGGTGGTTGTTCAGGAGGTGGCGGGGCGTTCCACAGGTTTAGGGGTTTAGGGCTTTAGGGTTTTAGGTTCTAGGGTTTAGGGGTTTAGGGTTTTAGGGTTTTAGGGTTTTAGGGTTTTAGGGTTTTAGGGTTTTAGGGTTTTAGGGTTTTAGGGTTTTAGGGTTTTAGGGTTTTAGGGTTTTAGGGGTTCAGGGGGTTTAGGGGTTTAGGGTTTTAGGGTTTTAGGGTTTTAGGGGTTTTAGGGGTTTTAGGGGTTTAGGGTTTTAGGGTTTTAGGGCCCAAGGGGCCCGAAGGCTTGCTGCATATGCGCAAGACTCTTAGGGCATGCCGCTTCGTAAACCTTAAGCCCAAAACGCCAGCCCTAAACCGTCTGCCCGAAACCCCGGTAACTCAAAACCCAAAACCCAAAACCCTAAACCCTAAACCCTAAACCCTAAAGGCTCTCACTTGCGGCGGCAGGCGCTCAGCGCAGCTCCGCCTCAACCACCTCCCAAAGCTCCGGACACTTGCCTCGGCATCTCAGAGCTCTCGCGAGACTTCCGGGCAACTGGATTTAGGGTTTAGGGTTTAGGGTTTAGGGTTTAGGGTTTAGGGTTTAGGGTTTAGGGTGTAGGGTGTAGGGTGTAGGGTGTAGGCTTGGGCTTCCAAAAGGTGGGTTTGAGGGCGTTTGCTGCAATGGGTTTTTGGCGTCGACTACCGAAGACGCCTCACACACCTTCACTCCAGCATGACCACGAGGCTTGGCCCGACGTGCCCGCGAGTTTAGGGTTTAGGGTTTGGGGTTTGGGGTTTAGGGTTTAGGGTTTCGGGCTAGGGGTTTAGGGTTTAGGGTTTAGGGTTTAGGGTTTAGGGTTTAGGGTTTAGGGTTTAGGGTTTAGGGTTTAGGGTTTAGGGTTTAGGGTTTGGGGTTTGGGGTTTAGGGTTTAGGGTTGTTTAGGGTTGTATACGGCCCCCTTTAGCCCTTAGAAGTACCGAACCTCGAGCCCTAGGCCTCAATCCCCGTCCAGCCACGGCCCTGCTCGGCCAGGAGCGGAAAGAAGCCCTTCACCCGCTCCTCCAGGGGAAACTACTTTGGGTTTGGGGTTTAGGGTTTCGGGTTTAGGGTTTAGGGCTTAGGGCCTCAGATCCTCCAGGAGGCAGAAATTCGGGCTTTGGAGCTTTTGTTTGGTTGAAGATGTAGGGTGAAAGCTGTCAGCAGGGAACCAGCTTGTGCGGGAGCCGGGAGATGTTGGCATGGGCGCATGGGCGCCCCAGAGGGCCCCAAAGGGGCCTCGATGTCGGAATCCGCCAACAGCCGCGCCGCCGCGGCGGAGGCGTGGGCCTCCTCCAGCTGCCTTGCAGGCCGTTTTGCCCCCAACTTTGGGTTTAGGGTTTAGGGTTTAGGGGTTAGGGTTTAGGGTTTCGGTGGAAGGCGAAAAAACGGAAGCCCTAACCAGGGCTCTCTTAAACCCGAACGACCTGGGGGGGGCGGGGGGTGTTGAGGATTTCAAAGTCGCGCCGCGTCTACCCCGGAACACGAAAACTGGCCTGGCGCTTTGGAGCTGCTGCTCCAAGGCTTTCAGCTCGGCGGCGCGGTCGTAGTCCTGCCACACTTGACGGACTGTAGCGGTTCGAGTTTGGGGGATTCATGTAGGGTTCCCTTGAGGGCGGTGCGTCAGCACTGGCGTGCCCCCCCCCCCCCCGGCGCGCGCGCGCGCGCGCGGGCAGGAGGTGGTTGGGGTTTTTTGCCACACGCCAAGCAGACTAGCCACACTGCAGGGTAACACTTCGGGATGATTGAGACACAGGTGGTTGTGTTTAGGTTTAGGATGCGGGTTCATGCAGGGTGGAATTCGGAGAGCCTCTCTCGCACACTGCTCTGCAGCTGTGGACGAGGAGTGTGTGGCTTGAGCGTCCCCATAGATTGAGGTTGAGGGCTTGAACCTTCGCCGTCGTTCTAGAACATGTACATGTAAGTATATGTGATGATATATGCTTATATGTATAAATGCACAGATTCTTTGAATTGCATACATATGCTTGTATGTGTATACAACTCTATATGTATACATGGTTACATGCATGCCTGCTTATCTGCAAATCTGCATATATGCATATGTGCACATATGTGCGCGTGCATACCCAAGGCTCCTCTCGCTCGACGGCTTCGCGCTTCTGCCGCCGAACCTGCACCGCTTAGGGTTTAGGGCTTAAGGAGTCTAACTGTGACCCGGCGCCTAAAGTAGCCCCTTAAGCCTTAAGCCATTTTCTCCGACAGGCACGACTTCGAAAAAGCATGACTACTGGACCCCAAGCCGGTTGGACCGGATTTCTTGTTAGAGCCTGTCGCTGGCTCCAACCAATCTCCTATGTAATGCACCCCAGGACTGCGGGTCTTGTAGGCGATCTACGAGTACCAGGGACTGCGGATCGAAGTCAGAATTTTTGGCAAAAAGCCACCAGTGGAAACACCCTAACCCTAAACCCGAAACCCTTTTTGCCCTAAACCCTAAACCCTAAACCCCAAACCCTAAACCCTGGTCGGTGCCTCCTCTAGCTGCGTGGCATCCGCAGCCCCCGAGGTGTCGGGACCCTGTCAGGAGCTTTGCGGAACAGTTTAGGGATTTCGGGTATAGGGTTTAGGGTTTAGGGTTTAGGGATTTCGGGTTTAGGGTTTAGGGTTTGAGGAAAGTGCGCAAAATACCCAACCGCGAGGGTCCCCAGCAGGGCACGTCAAGCTCACAATCCATGTGTGCACACACTACCGAAACCCCTTAACCCCCTAAACCCCTAGACTCTTTTGCAACCAGGTCTCTTGCAGCCAGCCGGGGAAGTTGTCACTTCACGTCTCCTAAACTCTAAACCCCGAAACACCTAGACCCTAAACGCCTAAACACCTAAACACCTTAGACCCCGAAACCCTAAACCCTTAAACACCTAAACACCTACAGTAGACCCTCAACCCGTGAACCCTAAAGCCCTAAACCCCTAAATCCCTACAATCTAGATCCTAAACCGCTAAACCCCAAACCCTAATCCTTAAACCCCTCAACCCTCTCGGTCTGGAGAGCAAGAAACCCTCCGGAACCCTAAGCCCCCCAAACCCTAAAAGCTCTAGACCCTAAACCCCTAAAATTACCTAAAACCCCAAATCCCCGAAGCCCTAAAACCCTCTACCACTAAACCCTAAACCCTAAACCCTACTCATACCTTAAATCATATTCGGGTTCCTATTACAATTTAAGTGATAGGAGTCTCTGGGTACTCCTATACCCTCCCGAAACCCTAAATAAACCCTAAACCCTAAACCCTAAACCCCACTTCAACAGCCGGTCGCCTGACACAGCGTCTTGGCGCGCTCCGCGCGCTCGACGACCTCGGGCTCCAGGGACTTCAGGAGCATGGCGAGGTCGAAGTCCTGATGGTACCCCTGAAACCCTAAACCCTAAACCCTAAACCCGAAACCCTAAACCCCTTTTACAACCCTAAACCCCTAAACCCCTAAACCCCTAAACCCTAAACCCTGAACCCCGGCATCCTCTTCCTCCACCGCTCGCTTCTTGCAGCACTTCAGGAAGCAGAGCTCGAGTGTGCCTCGGGCGGCGCGAGCAGCATTTCGGCTTAAGATTTTGAAAGCCGGGACCCCAGAGAACATGACAATTCTAGGGTTCTTCAGGGAGGGGGTCATACTACTTAAGGGTTTTTGGGGTGTTAGGGTGTGTTTAGTGTGTTTAGGGTGTTAGGGTGTTAGGGTGTTAGGGTGTTAGGGTGTTAGGGTGTTAGGGTGTTAGGGTGTTAGGGTGTTAGGGTGTTAGGGTGTTAGGGTGTTAGGGTGTTAGGGTGTTAGGGTGTTAGGGCCACTACATCGGCAGGGCTCTAGGTGTCTAGGTTCTGGGGCGCAGAAATCGCACTTAGTGGGCTCCGAAATCGCACACAACCTGAAGCCAAGAAGCGCCGAGCCCACTGCGTCAGAAGATCGCCATCCTGTGCTGTGCAAAAACCCCCACCCTTTCGCAAGACCTTCAAAGCCATAGAAACCCTGGACAGCACGGAAAGCTATCGAGAAGCTAGAACAGCTAGAAGCACCCGAACGATGCACACAAACATGTTCCACAACGACCGCCCTTGTCATCATGGCTGGCGCCACCTGCCTAGGGGACTGCAGGCAAAGAGTGCCCTAAACCCTAAACCCTTTTGCAACGAGCTTGGCTACGCTCCCGCCCGGCTTGGCTGTCCCAATCCCCTGTACTCGTGACAGGGTCTCGGCGACGACTCTAAACCCTAAACCCTAAACCCTAAACCCTAAACCCTAAACCCTAAACCCTAAACCCTAAACCCTAAACCCTAGTCAATGTCCTCCGGCGCCTCCGCTGGTTCGGTCTTCCGCCGCTTCGGCGAGGGCTCGGACGCTGCCGGACGGCGAGCGCCTCGAAGGAACCGGAGTGCTTAGAGAGGTGGACTCGCCTGGAGTGCTTAGAGAGGTGGATTCGCCTGGGAGGGGGACACCCCAAGCGGTTTAGGGTTTAGGGTTTAGGGTTTAGGGTTGAGGGTTTAGGGTTTAGGGTTTAGGGTTTAGGGTCTAGGGTCTAGGGTCTAGGGTCTAGGGTTTAGGGTTTAGGGTTTAGGGTTTAGGGTTTAGGGTTTAGGGTTTAGGGTTGAGGGTTGAGGGTTTAGGGTTTTTCTGCCCAAACCAATCATGGACCCTAGACCCCTAAAACCCAAAGTCTTTCCTTGAACCTGGTCTCGAAGGCCAAACCGGTAACCTTAAACCGTGCTGGAGCCGAGGCATGTGACGGGAAGGGTATACACTGGCGCTCTCCTTAAACCCTAAACTCTAAATCTTGAAGCCATACCTAAACTAAACCCTGAACCACCACCAAACCCTAAAGCCCTGAAACCCCAAACCCTCAAACCCGAAATCCCTAAAACCCAAACCCGAAATCCTAAATCCCTAAACCCTAAACCCTCACACCCGAAATCCCTAAACCCCAAATCCGAAATCCCTAAACCCCAAAATCCCAAAACCACAAAACCCCGAAACCCCACAAACCCCATGGGCAAAACCCTAAACCCTAAATCCTAAGCCCTAAACCCTACACCCTAAACCCTAAGCCCTAAACCCTAAACCCTAAACCCTAAACCCGAAACCCTAAACCCTAAGCCCTAAACCCTCTTTTACTATGTATATTTAAACCCTAATGACCTTCGTGGGCATGTGGTTTTTTTCTGGGCCCTAAACCCTGACCCCCTTCGTGGGCAAATGGCTTTTTTCCTGGGCCGTGCCTCCAAAAACACCCCAAATGAGGGGGACCCCAGGATCGGCCCGGGCCACAGTTCAAAATGCGATTTTTTAGTACTGAAATCGACGCTTCTGGGCGGGCTCTCGTTTTCTGGATTTTTGATCAAAACCGAGCCTTTGGGCCCTAAACCCTGACCCCCTTCGTGGGCAAATGGTTTTTTTCCACCCGGGGGGGGGCCTAAACCCTGACCCCCTTCGTGGGCAAATGGCTTTTTTCCACCCGGGGGGGCCCTAAACCCTGACCCCCTTCGTGGGCAAATGGTTTTTTTCCACCCGGGGGGGCCCTAAACCCTGACCCCCTTCGTGGGCAAATGGTTTTTTCCCGGGGGGGCCCTAAACCCTGACCCCCTTCGTGGGCAAATGGTTTTTTTCCACCCGGGGGGGGGCCCTAAACCCTGACCCCCTTCGTGGGCAAATGGTTTTTTTCCACCCGGGGGGGGCCCTAAACCCTGACCCCCTTCGTGGGCAAATGGTTTTTTTCCACCCGGGGGGGCCCTAAACCCTGACCCCCTTCGTGGGCAAATGGTTTTTTTCCACCCGGGGGGGGGGCCCTAAACCCTGACCCCCTTCGTGGGCAAATGGTTTTTTTCCACCCGGGGGGGCCCTAAACCCTGACCCCCTTCGTGGGCAAATGGTTTTTTTCCACCCGGGGGGGCCCTAAACCCTGACCCCCTTCGTGGGCAAATGGTTTTTTTCCACCCGGGGGGGCCCTAAACCCTGAGGGCAAATGGTTTTTTTCCCCCCGGGGGGCCCCTAAACCCTGACCCCCTTCGTGGGCAAATGGTTTTTTTCCACCCGGGGGGGGCCCCTAAACCCTGCCCCCCTTCGTTGGCAAATGTTTTTTTTCCACCCGGGGGGGGGGGGCCTAAACCCTGACCCCCTTCGTGGGCAAATGGTTTTTTTCCACCCGCGGGGGGCCCTAAACCCTGACCCCCTTCGTGGGCAAATGGTTTTTTTCCACCGGGGGGGCCCTAAACCCTGACCCCCTTCGTGGGCAAATGGTTTTTTTCCACCCGGGAAGCCCTGGATTTTTGACCAAAACCGAGCTTCACCGGCTTCAGGATGTCAAGTTTTTTCACGTTCTGTCAAGGTTTTTTCAACGTTTTCCGTGTTTTTTTAAGGTTTTCCAATGTTTTTCAGGGTGTTTCAGGGTTTTTAACCCTCAATTCTGATGACGGGCCACCCCTGCGACCTTTTCACAGCCTAGTTTTGGTCACGGGGGGTCGTGTTTTTCAAGTTTAAAGGCAAAATCGTCTTGGAGACCCCCCGTGGCCTCAAACTCTGACCCCCCCTTGAGAGGGCAAGTTTGCTTCCAAAAACACCCCAAATGAGGGGGGACCCCAGGATCGGCCCGGGTCCCAATTAAAACCGAGCTTCCTCCAACTCCGACCCCCCTTAAGAGGGAAAGTTTGCTTCCAAAAAGGTTTTGGGCCTATAAGCCTACTGAAAATGTATTGAATGAACTTTGTATTTTCTCAATGTTATGGGTTTCTTGGGTGGGTGGGGTTTTTTTTCCAACGCTTGACAAGCTGCTTGACTAGTGAAGGCTTGGACATGAGATGCTGAACCCTACACCCTAAACCCTAAAACCCTAAGCCCCGAAACCCCGCGGCCTTGCTGCGCCTCGCGCGCCGCGACCAAGCGGTTCAGCCGAGTCTCGGCCTGAAGGAGGGTTGAGGGTTGAGGGTTTTGAGGGTTTAGGTTGAGGGTTGAGGGTTGAGGGTTGAGGGTTGAGGGTTTAGGGTTTAGGCCTGAGGGTTTTTTTTTGAGGGTTTAGGGTTGAGGGTTGAGGGTAGGGTTTAGGGTCTAGGGTTGGCTACCCGCCTAGCTGAGCACTCTCAGATGCACTGCAGGGCACTGTCTGGGGGAAACCTAGTCTCAAAGCGTCCCTAGGTTGGCAGAAACCTCATCACACAAGCAAAGGCAATGTCTCCACACCCCCCAACCATGGCACCCAATAGTTCGGTTTCAGGGTTTAGTCGGGCTTAGGGCTTTGGGTTTAGGGTTTAGGGCCTTTCAGGGTTGAGGGTTTAGGTTTAGGCTTTAGGGACTTAGGGGTTTTTTGGGACTTTTTCCCACCCGTCTAGGGTTTAAGGGTTTTGGGGATGAGGGATTTGTTTGCCACCTGTCTAGGGTTTAGGGTTTCAGGCTTAGGGTTTAGGGTTTAGAGTTTCGGGTTTCGGGTTGCCTCTCGGTTCGCAGAACTGACGACACCACTTTTGCAGGGCCGATGGCATGGGGTCAGGGTTGGGAATGGTTTGGGTACAGGGAAATGTCCGGCTACCTTCGAAGATCCGCGACTAACAAGAAATCCCTAAATGCCCCAAACCCTCAACCCTAAACCCTAAATTCTCAACCCTACACCCTCAACCCTAAACCCTCAACCCTAAACTCTGCACCCCAAAACCCCACACTCGAACTACGGGAACCTCGGCGATCATGGTGGCGCGGACGCCGGCCGTGGCAGCCTCCTGGGCTTCTGCTTTTGGTCCCTTTGGCTTGTTCGTACTACTTTTAGGGTTTAGAGTTTAGGTTTCGTGTGTCATGTTTCACCATCTTATAGTTTAGGGTTGACGTGGTTTTCGTTTCGTGTGTCGCAATCTTGCGGTTCAGGAGGTAGTTATTTGTTGCGTCTTGATTTGCTATCTTGTTCTTTCGGGTTTAGCGTTTGTGTCTTGGCTTGGCATCGTGTAGTCTAGGATGTAAGCATTTGTTGCGCTTAGGTTTGCAATGGTTTGTAGTGTGTCGTTTTGCTAGCCGCTTTAGCATCTAGAGCTTTAGGGTTTACGATGTTCTGTGTCTTGCTTTGCCGTCTTGTCGCTAAGGGTGTAAACGTGCCCTAAACCGTAAACCCTGAACCCTAAACCCTGAACCCTAAACCCTTAACCCTAAACCCTGAACCCTGAACCCTAAACCCTAAACCCTAAACCCTAAACCCTAAACCCTAAACCCTAAACCCTAAACCCTAAACCCTAAACCCTAAACCCTAAACTAAACCCTGAACTCTGAACCCTAAACTCTAAATCCTACACCTTTCTTGTCGTTCAGGCATTGGGTATTGAGTGTTCTGTTTTGCGGCCATCTTCTGTTGTTGGGCCCTGGTTTGCTTGCGACTTGGGGTGGCTATCACGGGACTACAGGAGGGACCCTTATAAGGGACCTTGGGGGTTATTTGGGCGTTTAGGGGCTACTTAGGTATATAGGGACTTTCTAAGATATATGTATAAACATATATAGGGGTTATATAAGGGAATAAGATTAAGGGTCCCTTCTAGCGGTCCCTCCTTAGTCCCCTTAAGCTGAGGTTTCTGACATGGCGGTGTGCAGTCTTGTGCTTTGAGGGTCAAGGCTTGGGGCTTTGGGGGCTCCAGTGTTCAGGGTTCAGGGTTCAGGGTTTAGGGTTTAGGGTTTAGGGTTTAGGGTTTAGGGTTTAGGGTTTAGGGTTTAGGGTTTAGGGTTTAGGGTTTAGGGTTTAGGGTTTAGGGTTTAGGGTTTAGGTTTAGGTTTAGGGTTTAGGGTTTAGGGTTTAGGGTTTAGGGTTTAGGGTTTAGGGTTTAGGGTTTAGGGTTTAGGGTTTAGGGTTTAGGGTTTAGGGTTTAGGGTTTAGGGTTTAGAAGCGTTATAGTTCTGGCAGCAGTCTCAGGCGGTTTTTCGGTTTGCATGCCGGGAGTTGAAGGGGCAGTGAGTCCTAAGCCCCGAACCCTGCATCCTCAACCCTAAACCATACCGAGCCCATGTTCCTAAACCCTAAACCTAAACCCTAAACCCTAAACCCTTTTCCATCCAGGTCTCTGAGTCGCTAGCCTAGGTGTTTTTGCCCCACTGTTCCGCACTTAAACCCTAAACCCTAAACCCTAAACCCTAAACCCTAAACCCTAAACCCTAAACCCAACAACCTTCTAGGACTCTTCTGAGGCCACTTGCGGCCACTTGCAGGCACGGCTCGCGCACCGCGGCTGCGAAGGCCACCTCGCTCTCCTCGTCCACGGCCCCAGCCTCCTCTGCGCAAGACTGGCGGGGGTCTCTTAGTGGGGGGAATGAGGGAATGAGGTACCCTACGTAGTCCCTTAAAGGGTATATTATAGGGGCCCTACATAATCCCTTAAAGGGTATATACAGGGGCCCTGCATAATCCCTTAAAGGTTATATATGGGGCCCTAATTCCCTCATTCCCTGCTAGGAACCAAGGGGAAGACGCGGGTTTCGGGATCAGGGCCAGAAGTGATCAAACTGAAACAGCGGTAGAGAGTTGAATCAAAGATTTAGTTCAGGGTTTCAGGCTTAGGGTTCGGGGTTTGGGGTTTAGGGTTTCTTTGATACTCAATCCCAACAGGAGTGCCAAGACTTGCGTCAGGCTAGAGAAGCACGTACTGGTGACTGGGGACACCGCCGTCGTAAGTCAACAAGTGCAAGCAACCGACCGTCCCTGCCCAAAAAAACAGAGCCCGAGGGTTTTGGGGTTTGGGGTTGAGGGTTTAGGGTTTGGGGTTTCGGGTTTGGGGTTTAGGGTTAGGGTTTAGGGTTTAGGGTTTAGGGTCTAGGGTTTCGGGTTTGGGGTTTGAGCTCCAGAAAGCCAAGCTCCTCGAGGGAAATGAGCAGCTCGGTGGCTGCCGTCAGCTCGCACTCGGCTGCTAGCCTTAAGATTTAAGGTGTCGAGGCTTTCGAGGGTGTAGGGCTTAGGGTTTAGGATGTAGTTCAGGATGTAGTTTAGGGGTTAGAGGGGTTAGAGGGTTTAGAGGGTTTAGAGGGTTTAGAGGGTTTCGAGGGTTTAGAGGGTTTAGAGGGTTTAGAGGGTTTAGGGCTTGGGGTGTTTGTGGATTTTTAGGATTTGGGGATTTTTTTTGCCACCCGACTAGCCACGGCAAAGCGGGGTAAATGGGTCGGAGGAACGGAAAAAGGACACCCAACAGGCACATGCCAGCTGCCCGGGGATATTGCCAGGAAGGCATTAAGGGTAGGAAATTGGCGGTGGGTTCATTCGGGAGAGATCAATGTTCCCAGACCAACATGCACCAACACCAGATAAGCAACGACGGCCAATGATCCCCCCAGCAGAACCCAGTCTTGGTATGTTTCCTTGGGGCACCTCCCCTTCGGAAAGAGCAAGAGCCCTGTTCGCGATCCTCCGTCACAAAGAAGGGTTACAACACAGTACAGCCAGTGCAGCCAGTAAGTATAGCTTGAAACACCGAGTACGGGGATCGCCACTTCAGAGCTCGCCTGCTTTGTACACACTAAGCCTTACCGTCCCTCGCCAAGTTACCTCCAGATATATTGCAGACTAGCAACCGGGACTTACCAGTAAGGGTTAACCAGGGAGGGAACTGTCATGGCTCGGATGTCAGTAAGGACTACGTCACGTCCCTTCACTACACTGCTATGCTTACAGGAGGGTCCGCTCGGCAGCCTAGTTTAATCTTCAAATGTCCGGCTGCGCTTTCAAAGGAGCCAGACCTCTCAGAAATGTTCCTGCCTGACTTCCCGGATTCTTGGGTTGTGGAATGGATGAGATGTGTGCACGCCTGTGGCCCATGTCGTGTGATGCATCCGAGGTTGGGGAATCCGGGCCAGGCGCGGTTCAGTGCCCAGCTTGAAATGGGGGTGGCCCCCTGGGCTAGCTCTGCCTGCGCCGTGAGTTTTGAATTACGAATTACGAAGTGCAAATTGTCGATTAGGCCGTGGCCCCAGGGCTCTGGAATGCACTAATTACAAATTAGGGTGCGCGGATGTTGTGTCGTACTAGTGGCACCAATTACGAATTAAAGTGCACGACTTTGTTGGTCGAATTAGTTGCATATCGGCAGGGTAATTACTAATTAGACGGACTCCCAGCACTAAATTAAGAATTGACATGCAAGTGCAGTTGTGAATTGTAGTGCGATCCGGGAAGGAAGGGGGGGGCGGCTTCTGAATGAGAGTTACCGTCTAGGCACGCCTGTGGCCAGTGCATGGGCTGGTAGATTCTTTGGCCTCCCCCCCTTTCAGATTTACAAACCCTTTCAGACTTACAAACTTGGCCGCAATCCGTTGCGGCTCACAGTTCCACCGTCGGAAGCAGTAGGAGGCAGCTGATATGTACCGGTGTCTTGAGCGCCGTGCCATTGGTCTCTGCCAGTAGGATGTCAGGATCCCGACTTTGCGGCAGAGGGCCCAAGCCATTCTGGAATGACAGTATCGCCGCATGTCCCACGTCATTGTTGAGGTGCTGGCAGTTGTGTGGGATGTGCGCGGTCGTCATTGCAATAAGCTCGCGACACTTCCTGTCCTGATCACCGCAGGGTGGCCGAATGTTCCAACTGACTCGTTGGGGGTGTAGTTCACATCCCAAGGTCTAAGGTCTGCAGGTTGTCAGGCAAGGTCTGATTCTCCCAGCTCTGCTTGAAGTCGTGTCCAAGGCTTAAGGACTGTAAGTTGTCAGGCAGAGCAGTATGCCTGAGGTGCTAGCGAAGACAGCCCGTGACTCTCCAGGGTGGGATGCCTCTCCGCATCATCTTCCACTGTGCTTTGTGCCAGTCGTGTCGGGCCATGGCTTCAGCAGGTGAGTTGCAGGTCGTCAGGCAAGGCCTTATTCTCCCAGCTCTGCTTGAAGTCATGTCCAAAGCTTAAGGACTGTAAGTTGTCCGTCAGGGCAGTATTCTCGAGGTGCCAGCGAAGACAGTCCCTGACGCTCCAGGGCGGGATGTCTCTCAGCATCATCGTCCACTGCATTCTGCGCCAGTCGTGTCGGGCCAAGCTTAAGGACTGTAAGTTGTCAGGCAGAGCAGTATTCTCGAGGTGCTAGCGAAGACAGTCCGTGACGCTCCTGGGTGGGGTGTCTCTCAGCACCATCGTCCTCTGCGCTCTGCGTCAGTCGTGTCGGGCCATGGCTTCAGCAGGCGAGTTGTCAACATCTTATCATATTAGAGTAAAACACGTAAGAGGTTAAGGTCGGGGGTTAGGGGAGATAGACAGTTAGGAGGTCAGTAGAGGGGGGAGTGGGAGAGTCGAGGCGGAGAGAAAAGTGAGCTGGTCCAGGGCGTGGTTATGTGTTCTTTTTGTTGTCAACCCTCCCCTGTCGTTTGTTTGTCAATCCTTCCCTGTCGGTCTGGGCGAGGTCGGTTTTTTTTTTTGGCGCAATCCAGTGTGGTGCAGCCGTCGTCGTCGATGTATGTTGCTCTTCCCATGCTTGTGCCGGCATGGCGGTGGCGGAAGCCCGTAAGGACAGTACATGGCTGTAAGGTACATCACGGCGTACAGGCCATGTCACGACATCACAACACTCAGGTACTGACATGACTGGCGTGTCTTGGCATGGCGGCGGCTGGAGCCTTTAAGAACAGCATACTAGCCATGTCACAACGTCACAACATGTAGGTACTGACATGACTGGCATGTATTTGGCTCGGCGGTGGCTGGAGCCTTTAAGAGCAGCACATGACCGAAAGTGACTTCATGACACCGCAGCATGTATAGAACAGCACGACATCCTCAGGTATTCCCATACTGCCGGGCGGCATTTGCCATAGGCTAGGTTTTTTTTTTGGGCGGGTAACGGCGCAAACCTTCAGGGTGCAGCCTTCTTCGTCGATGCGTTTCGTAGTGTCTGCAGGCATGGCGGTGGCGGAAGCCCTTAAGGACAGCACATGACTGTTGGACATGGTGCATATGCAGGGCACAACATGACATGGTTGCATGCAGGGGACAACATGAGTCTGCCACATCGTCTCACTAAATGCGAGGCAGAGCGGCGGTGGGAGCCTGTAACATCATTCGATATTACGTCAAGCCACGGCTGTGATCACATGCAGGCGTGCAGATGCAATGCCGTGTTGTAGGGTATTTGGGTCACGGCCAAATTGGTCATTGTATCCTACCTTGAGTTAGGGCGAATTAGCAACCTCATCCCCTCAGGGTCAGGTGGGAGGGGCGTGTCAGCGATCTCTGCTCGGCAGTGTTGCCGGCATCGTTTTGGCTCTCTTGAGGGGGGGGACGGGGGTTGGGGTTGTTTGAGGTTGTTCCACTTCCAGCCGGGCCATGCGGCGAGGTCCATCCCTACCCTCATGCATGGCGGCCTCCGTCATGCAGCTGCTTTGGGACTGTTCACTCAGTGCTCCAAGCCAAGGCACTCCATTCTCGAGGTCCCTCTGATCATCCGCTAAGAGCCTAGTGATGAACCCCGGTGACGGGGGCTTGAGGCGGCCTGTGTTGCGGAGACCTGAAGCTTGAGGCTCATCCTCCGAGCTGGAGATTTCTTGGGGGGGGCATCTTTCCTGCAGCTCGGGCTGGGGGGGGCGCTCCTGTTGGACAGCTCTGGTTCTAGCTATCAGGTTAGGGATGGAGAGTTGTACGGTGCCTGGTCGGACCAGGTTGTGCCTGAACCTGCTCAGCTGGGCTGGGGTCGGGAGTGCAAACCCCTGTGTGAGGAGGAGAGATCTAAGTTCAACGGAGAGGGTCTTTACATTGCGGGGAGTAAACGCAATGAGAGTTAGGCGTCTACGTCCCGTCCACGGCATGGCCCCATGAAGTAGAAGGTTGGATGTGAATATCGCAGGGTGAGGGAAGAGGGAGTACGCTTTACCCTGAACTCGTCTACCTTCATGTTCTCTCTCTACCGTCCCCTCTGGGTGTTCTATCCACAGTTCACCGCCTTCATGGTCAGTTAGGCTAATTGCGATGGAAGGGACATGCGAGTTCTGTACATCTTTGTGCAGCCCTCTCATAGACCCCTCACGAATCGTAACACTGCAAAAGGGAATCCCCGTATAGAGACTACGTACAAAGCTTGTAACCGCCTGCGTGGTGCACGGCACATCGTACGTATTGTTTATGGGCGCCATTGAGCTTCTCGGGCTCGCCCCTGACACGAAAGACCGTCCTCCTGTCGGCCCCTGTTTGCATTGGCGGGGCATGGTATCCCACAGTTCCACAATGTTTTCCCTGCATATGGGCCCCGATTCCCTGATCATGTGGAAGGCCCTTTCCTCCAGTTGTTCCACCATGACACCTGTCGAAGTTTGAACCTGGTTTGAGGCTCTTTTTGTCAAAGTCTGATGTTTGTTTAGGGTCCCTTTGTTCTTGCTTCTAGGCCCACCGACCCCTTGCTCCTGTATCTTTGTGGCTAACACAGTGGCGGAAGGTGGGTCAGATTGAGGAAGCGAGAGCGAGGGAGGGGCGAGTCGTGGGGGTGCAGGAATGCGCGTGTTGAGATGAAATTGTCGATATGGCCTGTTTTCTGGAGCACAACCGATTTGGGGATTAGAGTTTTGGGTTTTGTGTCCACCCGCATAGCTGGGCACAGTGTTTCGGAATCTAGCGACAGTCCCAAACCCTCCAACCCCTTTGGCTTCCGACTTGGACCCTCGGCCAAGTCTAAACCCTAAACTTGGAATGTTTCCCCTTATACTAACAGTCCTTAGTAGGGATTCTAGTACCCTTATTCTAATCCCCTGCTTACGGACTGTTAGTATAACGGGGAACATCCCAACCCTAAAGCCTAAACTTCTCGAAATCCCAGTGCGCAACCCTGCGCCCCAAATGGGAGGCTGATCTGGGCTTGAAAGGTCTCCGTCTCGAAGTTGAGGACCTCAACTCGGAAACCCGAATTCAACTCGACACCCTAATTTAAAGCCCCCCTTGTTTGCATCTGAATTGGGAGGGGATGCCCTAAGCCCCCCTTACTCTAAACCCTCAACCCTAAACCCTAAACCCTACACCCCAAACCCGAAACCCCAGACCCCAAACCCTAAACCTTTCTCTCCCTAGACTCCAGCAAAAAAGGGAAAGCGGCCCAGCCACGAACAGAGCTGGGCCTCCGCAGCAGCGAGGGCGGCCTTCCCCAAGCATCCCCCACGCTTTGCTTGAACTTCTAGGGTTTGGGATTTAGGGATTTCTTTCTGCCAGGGTTTGGGGTTTAGAGTTGTTTTGTAGGGGTTTAGGTTTTAGGGTTGAGCATTTTAAGGTTCTGGGTTTTAGGATTTTAGGGTTTTGCGGATTGGGGTTTGGGCTTCTAGGGCTTGGGGTTTGAGAGCCGGGCGCACTATACTACTATTTGCCTAGGAACCCCCCAAAAAACTCAAAGATAATGATCCCTATATTGCCCTTGTAAAGAAGAACATTTGTGTTTTTTTTTTGGGGGGGGGTTCGAAAAGCAATTGTAGCATAAGTAAGGTACAATCGCGCGTGCCTTGCGCTTAGGGGGAGATTTAGAACTTGACATCTAAGTTCTTGAGGTGTACTGAAACAGCTGTGAACCTAAATCAACCTATTCCTGCTGAAAAGCGGATAAACCCCAAAAATGAGCCCTAACCCTCAAAAAAACTATTCTGAAACATATGTGACGCCCTAATATAAGCCCCCCTAAAAAACAACCTCATTTGTCCCCTAAACGCTAAAGACGACATATAGTCCCCAACCACCCCCCCCCCCCCCCCCCCGGCAACAAAAAAAAACAAACAGAACCTGTCAACCGGAAGCCCTGGCAAAGACACTATCCCCGGTACTTAGAAACACTACAAACCCTGGACCCCTAAAAAAGACTTACCACAGAAAATGCAAACCCCAAACCCGGATTGAACTGAACAGCCTGATCTCCAAAATAAAGCCTACCCTAAACCCTCAACAACCCTATGCCCTTAAACAAAAATACTTCACGAAGCCTAGACCATAAAGAAAGCTTGTCAGCCCTAAACCCACAAAAAACTACAAACCCTGACACACTCATTCCTAAACCCTAAACCCTTGACTCTGGAAAACCCCTAAACCCTAAACCCTTGACCATGGAAAAACCCCGTAACATCCCAACCCATCTCTCCCATCCCTCCGATCTCCTCGCCCTAAACCCTGAACCCTAAACCCTTGAAAGCCCCTTAAAACCCCGACCCCTCCCTCCCATCTCTCCGATCTCCTCTTCCACGCCGCAAGCCCGGGCTGCTGCCAGGGCCTCGCGAAGCTGGGCCTCGCGCCCTGCCTCCCAGGGTATTCAGTGGGGTTTGGGGTTTAGAGTTTAGGGTTTAGGGTTTAGGGTTTAGGGTTCAGGGTTTAGGGTTTAGGGCTTAGGGCTAAGGGTTTAGGGCTTAGGGCTCAGGGTTTCGGGCTTAGGGCCCCTGTATATAAGGTCAACGATAGTTAAACGAATCTTTCCGAGTGTCTATTCTAAATCCAGCAAATCCCCCCTCCCCCCCTACACCTGGCCAGTCTGGAGGCTTTTGGTGGGCTCCGAGGCCGAAACCTCTCAACCACCGGAGGGGAGGGGACCTTAAGACCCTCGGAAACCCCCAAAAAGGGATTGATGTAAAATGTCCCACGGGCTGGCCCGGACCGAGCACCCTCTTACCATCAAGCGGCCTCCATCGCTTCGGCGAGGGCTTCCTGGAAGAGTTCGGTGGAGCACACGTTGGTGGGCACGAGGGTACTTGGACAAGCCAGGCAGGCACGCTACAAGGCCCGGAGACCCTGAAACCCTGAGTTGGGGATGTCATGCCACTGCCGTTGGCATACCATTAAACTTCGTAGGAACTGTTGCTACAAGAGAAACCCCGAAACCCCCAAGCCAAAAGCCCAAAGCCAGGACACCCCGCAGCAGAACCCCAAAACCCGAAAGCCTAAACCCCAGACCCTGCAAAGGTGCCTGGCTGGAAAGGCGGCCCAAGACCAGTTCTGCCTCTTCCAGCTTCCTGGGCGGCGGGTTCAGGGTTCAAGGTTCTTGCCACCTGCCTTGCCGCGGGGTTTAGGGTTCAATTGGGCGGGGCGCAGAGAGGGAGGGAAGGGGGTGGTACCCATTCCTTTGGGCACCCCTTTAGGGTTAAGGGGTTTTTTTTTGCCACCCGACTAGCCACAGCACTGCGGGGTTGTTTTGAATTTAGGGTTTAGTGTTTAAGGCTTAGGGCTTAGGGTTTAGGGTTTAGGAAGTTCACTTTCCTTAAGCCCAGGCCAAGATTCGACTCGGAGACACCTGCTGTGCGGGCTGCGTCCAGTGTGGTTTGAATCCTCGGAGGTTGATCTCTGCAGAGGTTTCAGGTTTCAGGCAAACAGGTTAAAGCTTCGGGGCTTCGGGCCTAGGCATGCGCAACCCATTCCCAATCTAAACCCTAAACCCCTAAACCCCTACACCCTTGAACCCCTAAACCCCTGAACCCAGAAACCTAAACCCTAAAACCTAAACCCTAAACCCTAAACCCTAAACCCTAAACCCTAAACCCTAAACCCTAAACCCTAAACCCTAACAAACGTTGATCTCCGGGCGTCTCCGCGACGCTCTCGGCACGCTGCAGCGCGGAGCCCAGTGATGCAGCTGCTGAGAGCTCCTAGGTCGCCAAACCCTAGACCCTGAACCCTAAACCCTAAACCCTGAACCCTAAACCCTAAACCCTAAACCCTAAACCTAAACCCTGAACCCTAAACCCTAAACTCTAAACCCTAAACCTCCCTAAACCCTAAACCCTAACCCTAAACCGCATGGTTGACTCCGCGCCGTCTTTAGGGTCTGGGGCTCAAGGAGGTTTAGGGCTTTAAGGTTCAGAAGGTTTGGTAGGGGCTTCTTAGGGTTTAGGGTTCGGTCAGGGCCCATGATTTGGGGTCTTGGGGTGCATGGCTTAAGGTTTGGGGCATGTGCTTTCGGCCGGATTAAGAGTCTGTCCTTGAAACTTTTTAGACCTATATATATATATACTGATCATCATCAAACAGTAATATTGAAAAATTCTTTCTAGAGTTTGAGGCTCAGGCATAGGATTTGGCGATCTGTAGCTTCTGGCACTGGATTAAGGGTTTGGGATGCTCAAGGACTTATTGGCCCACCAACGTCCCAAAACCGGATAGGGTTTAGGGTTCAGGGGTTGGGGATGAGGGTTTAGGGTTCAGGGTTTTAGGGGTCGACCCTCGTACTTTGTGCTTGTACTTGCTTTCGGTGATTGTCTAGCTCCGTCCGGGGCCACGAGTGTCTTGGCTTGAGCTTGGCAAATGGTTTAGGGTTTAGGGTTAGGGCTTAGGGCTTAGGGTTTAGGGCTTAGGGCTTAGGGCTTACAACCCCAAACCCCTGAACCAAACAAACATCCCCCCAGGCCCGTCCTTGAGCCAGCCCTCAGCCTCCTCCAACCTGTCAGGGAGAATTCTGGGCTGCTGTTCAGGAGATATCATGGTTTAGGGTTTAGGGTTTAGGGTAGGCTTAGGGTTTAGGGTTTAGGGCTTAGGGTTTAGGGTTTAGGGTGTAGGGTTTAGGGTTTAGGGTTTAGGGTTTAGGGTATAGAGTTGATGTAACTCCTTTCTTGGAGACATTTTTCACGTCCTCAAACGGCAACACGGTTTGGTGCTTCAGGGTTCGGAGGCCTTCGCAACCAGCAGCCCTACACCCCCGCTTCGAAAACCCTCCTCATCATCAGCTTGCAACGTTTTTTGGGGAATGAGCTCTTCGCGCCTCACCAATCCTGACAAACTTCATGCAACCTCAACTTGTCTACCAGGGTCCTTGCACCCTACCCCCCCCCTCCCCCCCCACCCCAAGACTGCTCTACTGCAGGAACTGCAAGGCCCTAAGCCCAAGGCTCCCGCAACCCAAGACCTCAATCCCCAAAAACTTGTCTAACTAACCCTAAACCCTAAACCCTAAAACCCTAAACCATAAAAACCCTAAAACCCTAAAACCCAAAAACCCTAACTCTTACTGCCCAAGCGCGCTACTCCTGCACCTCAACCAAACCCATGGACCCAGCCTCGCAGGATCAACGCCCGCCGCGTACGCGGCACCAAGGGCGATGCGCAGTGCGCTGGCACTCTTCCTGGGCTTACTGAGTTTGGGGTTTCGGGTTTAGGGTTTCGGGTTTCGGGTTTAGGGTTTAGGGTTTAGGGTTTAGGGTTTAGGGTTTAGGGTTTAGGGTTTAGGGTTTAGGGTTTAGGGTTTAGGGTTTAGGGTTTAGGGATACTTGGAGGTTCATAGGTAGTTAGAAGTAGGGCTATATAAGTAAGGTAACCGTTATTATAACCTAAACTTATAACTCCGCTTGCAGCCACCCATGAACCTTCACGTAGGCATGAAGGCTCGGGTGTGTCTAGAACTGCTGTTTTTTTGTTGATTCTGTAGCACATTCCCTACTAACCATCCTAAGCGCTCTGCGCTAAAACCCGAAAGCATAGAGACACCTTAAAGCATCCTAAACCCTAAAGCCCTAAAACACCCTACATGAGCCCTGAGCCCCAAAGCCCTAAAACACCTTAAGCCCTAAGCACTAAAACCCTAAAGTCATAAAATCCGGAAAACACCCAAAGGCAATAATCCGAAAACCCTACAGCCCGAAAACGTGAAAAAAAAAAAAACTTAAGCCCTAAGCCCTAAAACATCGCAAGCCCTGAGCCCTAAAGCATCCTAAAGTCCTGGATTCTTAAAACATCCTAAAGCCCCAAAAGCATCCTAAGCCCCAACCCCGACTTGCGTAAATTAAACCCTACAACCCTGAAGCCCAAAAGGCCCAAAACTAACCTAAAGCCCCAAGCCCTCAAACAATAAGCCCTAAAGCCCCAAAACATCCTAACCACTAAAACCCTGAACCCTGAAGCCCAAAAGCCCCAAAACAACATCCTAAGCGCTAAACCCTCAACCCTAAACCCGAAAACCCTACAGCCCTACAGCTTAAAACATCATTAGCCGCAAAACCCTAGACCCTAAAGACCTAAAACATCCTCAACCACAAAGCCCTAACCCTGGGGCCCTAAAACATCCTACACCCTACAACCCCAAACCCTGCTTCCTAGCTGGACCATCTGCTATGTCATTCGCAATGATCCTGCTGCGAACTCGCGTCTTGTTCATGCGAGCGCATACCCACCTGGACTGGATGATACGCAGACGTGGATGCTTGCGTCTGAGGTCTCCAACTTCGTCGACACCGTTCCAGATTCGACAGCTCTTCCTTCATTCCAGCAAACACCAAGTCACCAGGGAGCTCTTCGAGTGTGCTATCATCAACACCCCCGGCCAGGGATCCACAGATGGACATGGGTGCAGATGCCCTAAATCCGGAAGCCCTACAACACTGGCTCCATGCTAGTGAGAGTTGGCAACCTAAGCTGCATACTCAGAGGGTGGATTAAGGCTTTAGGGTTTTAGGGTTTCGGACGTTTTAGGCCTTTAGGGCTCATGATGCTTTACGGCTGAAGGGCTTTAAGGCCTTAGGCTTTAGCGCTTTAGGGTTTATGGTGTGTTAGGCTTTTGGGCTTAGGGTTTTAGGGGGGTCTAGGATTCTAGGGCTTGGGATGTTTAGGGTTTATGGGTTTAGGGTTTAGGGTGTGTTAGGGCCTTAGGGCTTTAGGATTTAGGGCAGCGTTTTCGGGTTTTGGCTGTAAGGGGTTTTAAGGACTTAGGGCTCTAGGGCTTCGAGTATCTAGGGCTTCGGGTTGGGGTTTGGGGATTTAGGGCTTCAGGTTTTCGAGTTAGGGGTTCAGGGTTTTGGGACTTCAGTTTTTTGGAGCGTTTAGAGTTTTTGAGTTTTAGGGTTTAAGTCTTTAGGGCTTAGCTGGAGTCTTGGGTGTCGGGGTTTCGGGCCCGTCCTTAAAGACGCAGCTTCATCTGCATAGCTGGGTTATAGTGGCACCGCGAACGGGTGCAAAAAACTGTTGAAATCTCCACGCTGGCTCACTCTTGCTACACACCCTAAGCCCTAAACCGCCTAAACCCGAAACCCTAAACCCCAGTGAACCCAAACCCTAAACCCTAAACCCCAGACCCTAAACCCGAATTTGGGCCACCAGTCTGGGGCTCGAATACCCGAACTGAATGGAAGCATCCTAAACAACCTTACGGGCGAACTTCGGAATAAGCCTTAGGGTTTAGGGTTGGGAGGTGCCCCCCTTCTACTGACAGTCCTTAGTTGAATGATAATAGCGGGGCGCAGCTGTTCATATAAGGGAAACATCCCAATTTAGGGCTCAGAATGGCAGATTAAATCCAGGCCCGGCGGCGTGTTGTAGGCTCGCTGTAGGGCCTGTCGGGGGCTTAGGCTTCTTGGCCTTCGGGTGAAGGTAAAAAAGAGTGGGTTTAGGGTTTAGGGTTTTGGGGTTTAGGGTCTAGGGTCTTGGGTTTAGGGTCAAGGGTCTAGGGTCTAGGGTCTAGGGTCTAGGGTCTAGGGTCTAGGGTTTAGGGTTTAGGGTTTAGGGTTTAGGGTTTAGGGATGTTTAGGGTTTAGGGTCTAGAGTTTAGGGTCTAGGGTCTAGGGTCTAGGGTCTAGGGTTTAGGGTTTAGGGTTTAGGGTTTAGGGTTTAGGGTTTAGGGATAAACGAACTTGCGACCCCAAACCTGGGACGACGGAAGCCACATCAGGCCCAATTGAAAGCCCTGCAAACCCTAGACCCGCTTTCGCTCTCACGTACAACCCTAGACCCTAAAACCCTCAACAAGAAACCCAACTAATCCTCGGACCTTACAAGCTGCACCCAATCACCCGACCGAAATCGTCACAGCACTCTAAACCCTAAGCCCTAAGCCCCAAGCCCTAAACCCTAAACCCTAAACCCTAAACTGACAGCACCTTCACAGCCAGGCCCTGCGCAGAGTCCGCACTGGGCACGGCCGGCGTGGCGTCTGCGGCCTCTACAAGCAGGGGAGCCTTGGGGTAAGATAGGGTTTAGGGCTTAGGGCTTAGGGTTTAGGGTTTTGGGTTTAGGGTTTAGGGTTTAGGGTTTTAGGGTTTTAGGGTTTTAGGGTTTTAGGGTTTTAGGGTTTTAGGGTTTTAGGGTTGAGGGTTTACGATACTAAGGGTACCTTATTGGGGTCCTTCTAATCATTACGGGGCCATAAGGGGATACCAGTAGTAATTCCGACCCCTATATTACAGCGCCCCCGTTTAACAGCCTGCAAACCCGGTCTGGGGGCTCAGCCGGAATCTCATAGGATCGGAGTCTACAATTTTTCATGAACCTTAAGTAACTGTGAGCCATGCGGTTCTTGCATTCGTGGTGCCGTTTGGGGTCCCTAACCCCCTTTCCGCAAACCAAGGAGAGCCCCCAAAAAACTCGACAACGCATTCTCACCTTTAGAACCTGTACCACCTCACAGCTTTTACGAAGGTACTCCAGCTTGAATAGGAAAACACCAATTCTCAGCAAACGCACGAGGAAGAAATGAAATTGCAGGTGGGGGAGGAAGAGCATGAGAAGCCAGCATCAACTTTTAGACAGAGCAAACGGAACAGGACACAGTGGGACTAGATGACCCAGTAGATGTACCGCCTCAATACTGACATGATTTGGAGCATGTGATAAGCAAGTGGCTGAAAAACACGTGTCTAAGCATGCATGTTACATCCGCTTGGCGAAACGCAAAACGGAAAGACTAAGCACAAAGAGCCCCTCAAACACGCTAAAACCGGAAGCCCGAAACCCTAAACCCTAAACCCTAAACTCCAAACCCCTAAACCTAAACCCCTAAATCTCGAACTTCCGAATCCTGGTTGCAAGAGGCCTCCGCGGGTGATGCTTCGGGCGCTGCCTCCGGCACCTGCCCAACCCTAAGCCGCAAGCCCTAAACCCTAAACTGTATGGGGCTTTTTGTGCCCACTGGTTCGTGCAGAGTAAGGGATGAGGGTGGGTATAAGGGACCTTCGTTCCCCCCCTTCCCTACCAAGAACGAGGCACCATGTACCTCGTTTGCCGCGCCGTCAGCGGCATCAAATGCTGGCAGAGCAGAGCACAGAATGTTGCCACGCTTCAGAAGATGCCAAAATTGTACTCTCGCCTAGGTTCTGGCCACATTTTGAGGAATGGTCATTTGCAGCGCAAGCTGCGAGTGAGTATGTGGAAGGCTTATATAACGAGGGTCCGAATCGCAAAGTAAGTTTAGTAATTTTGAAAAACAAAAAACTCGGCATTGTTGCTTTCTTCTTTTGACTGCTTCGAACTCACGGCTTCGGCATGTCCAGCCACGTAGCGTCCACGAAGGCTTGGTGTCGTAAATACCAATGTTTTGGGCATGCCATGCGCGCGAAACATTGCAAATAACGGTAACACGGACGTTATCATCGTGCGGACATGGATGCTCTGGCAACACGGCATTATTGCGCAGACGTGGACGCTCTGGCCATTCGCATGCAGTAGTAACACGGACATCATCATCATCATCATCATCATCATCATCATCATCATCATCATCATCATCGTGCGGACATGGATGCGCTGGGAACACGGACGTTATCATCGGGTGATGGAGCCAAGAACTAGTAGGAAACTCTTCATGTTTTGCATCCAAGCCTTTTGAAAGAACAGACCCTGCGCTGCAAAACCCCTGAAGGCTTTTGGGCTTCCCAAAGAGCCCATCCCCTTCATTTAGGAACAGACCTCAAATCATACGCAGGATCCCTATCTAGTTTCAGTTTACGTACGAAATATTCCTTCATTAAAGGGGTTTGGGCGCTGGGTATGGCTCGGGTTTTCTTTCTTTAGGGCTTGGAGCTTCCGGGTTGTGAGGGGGTTTCGGAATGGCGGGCTTGGGGCTTTGATGCTTTGGGCCTTGGGGGTTTAGAGGTTTAGATATAGGGTTAGGGTTTGGGGTTTAGGGTTTAAGGTTTGAGGGCCTCAACGTTTTCCAGAGCTACTAGGGCGGCCTCGTATCCCACCACTGGCAGCCTGAATAGCTGGACTTTTGTATGTGTACTTTTGCCAGTGGGTCCACGAAACCTTCATGCCGGCCATCCTATGCAAGAAATGCTTCAGAATAGGCTCCGGAATTAATTTAGGTGTTTTTTTTTTTGTCTTTTTTTGGGTGATTTTTTTTGTTTTTCTTGTTCTGTACTTACCACCTAATAGTAGTACTAGTAGTGGTTGTAGTAGTTGTAGTAGCACTCACGGTTTAGGGTTTAGGGTTTAGGGTTTAGGGTTTAGGGTTTAGGGTTTAGGGTTTAGGGTTTAGGGTTTAGGGTTTAGGGTTTAGGGTTTAGGGTTTAGGGTTTAGGGTTTAGGGTTTAGGGTAAAGAACAAGCAAAACAAAAAAATACCAAAAAAAACAAAAAAATACCTAAAAAAAAGTTCTCCCCTTCAGAATTGCACCCTCAGATGCGATTCTCTGTGGCAACCCCTCATGATCCATCTCTGTTCAGCTCCCACGGCACTGCCTCCACGTCAAGGGGCTCGTCACCGTAAGCATCGGTCTGAACGGCCTGCGAAAGGTCTCAGACTCCGGGTGCGGAGGTGAAGGCTTGCATCTACCTGCGAAGCCTCGGGCCACGGAATTCTCTTTGCTGCACTTAGGAGGGTAGCTATAAATTAAAGTTTTCGGTGCCTTACTAGGAAACCCAATGAACCCAAAAAGGCCAAGCCTTAAAATTAGGAGCCCAACAAGGTGCCCCCACACAATTAGAACCATGCCAGTAACGGCAACACGTTTGGCATCCCTCGACAGAGCAAAAACCCCAAGTCCGAAACTCCTTACAAAACTACGCCGCGCCCTGGCCAAAAACAAAAAAACCCAACCCCCCGGAACTCTGAACCCAAAACTGTTCAAACCCTAGCCAGGTTTGTAGGGCTGAGGGTTTTTGATTTAGTGTGCGTCAGGCAAGGGCGCGAGCTGGGGGTGTGAAGCTACGCTAGGATCCCAAACCCTCAGCCTGACAATCTTCAACCTTAAACTAAACCTAGAGCCTAGAATCCTTTTTCAAGAGACTTCGCCCGCCTCGATAAACCTAGAATTCTAAACCCTAAACCCTATAGAATCCCCTCCCTCCTATTCCTAAGCCATGGCCTACGCCCTAGAATCGTTTTTGTTTAAATCCGAAATCCTAAATCCGGCTGTCTCCACCGCTGGCTCGCTAAGTCTTGCCACGCTGGCGAGCCGATACTGTATGGGGCACTCATCCTGAGTCCTTTTCAGAAGACTCTTTGCTCGGGCCGAAGGAGGGCTAGCCTGGAAGGAGACTTGGTGACTGCACTACGGCCCCTATGTTTGCTTACGGCCAGTCAGGGACCTCGAACTGTTGCCGGAGGGTGGCCACAACGATTGCGGAGGCTCCCGGAAAACGAAGCAGGGAAGGCACCCCGAGGCATCACCCCATATAAATCCAAGCCCGAGGATGGGTGCGCTGTGACCGCCGGTCTGGGGTCATGTGAACTTTTTTTTTGGCGCGGCCTGTGCTTGACCTCCTTCGCTGCGCCTTATCTGACCCTATGTCTTTCCATCAATGGAAACCCTTTCTTCTCCCTCTCCTTCCTGCAACTCCAGTGACAACAGGCCTCATATCATCTGAATTCTTAGATTTCAGATGCTAGCATTCATTCTTGCAGGGCCCGATTAAATGGCATCTCTCAGGCAAGGACTTCAATAGGGGAGGCCCGGCTTCTGCCCAAACATGAGCGGATACTGCTGCCAAGCTGTCAGCGCAAGCCTGCCAGCACGGCTTGGGACAGACAGCGGGACAGACAGCCGAACCCCTCAAGACCTGGAAGGCCCAGCACGCCAAATTTGAAAGCGAGATTTCGCTTCCCTAGGATGGCCCTTAAAAGCCTCTGAGAAAATTTCCTGAATATGATCCTCTTAAAGCCAATAAGGGAAAATATAAAGTGTCCCAAAGGCCTACCTAGTTCCCTCAATCTGCGGGAGAGGCGGAGATCAATATCAAGAAGCTCCAGGTCCAAAACGCCCAGAGCGCAGAGCCCAGGCCAAAAATTTGATGCTCAGGAACAACCATGGCTCCTCCATAACAAAGCAATCCACAAACTTGGGGGGAGGCACCCCAACTGCCCCAACTCCCCAAGCACACGCCACCATCTGAGAAAGCTGCATGTTTCAGGCCTACAAACAGTTCAAATCAATGCACGAACTGGAAACCAAGATAAAAGCCCCCAGATTCGAAGGAAAAATCAACACGTGAAAAAGCCCTAAACGAAGTCATAGATTAGGTGGGTGGGTTGCGAGGGCACGCCAACCTGGCACGTCCCACAACACACGCCTTGCGTGGTGGTGTGCGTGGAACATGTCACCAAAGCCCTAAATCCTAAATCCCAGGCCCTAATCCCAAACTGGAGCGAGCCGCGGGCGCTACTTGGCCAGCAGGGGGCGATACCGTGTGGCGACAGAGCCCGAGCGGATCGGGGAGCAGGTCGTTGCGCGCGGATCCAGCTTGCGCCCGACGGAAGTGCCCCGTTGACTCAGTTTGGGGTTTCGGCCTAGGGTCCCTGACAACCTCAACCCAAGATTGGGGTACCTAATAGAAGAGGAACCCTAAACCCTAAACCAAACTGTAAACCCCAAACCTAGACCCTAAACCCTAGACCCCCTCCCGAAGCACCCAACACCTCCTCGACCTCAGCCTCTGGTTGCTCGGACTCCTGGCGCTGGGCGGCCGGCGGGTCTTGCTAGCTTACTTGAAGGCTCTGTAGGGTTGAGGGTTTAGGGATACTTGAAGGTTCATGGGTAGTTCTTCCCAGGGATACTTGCCGGTTCATAGTTCATGGGTAGTTTCAATTAGGGATACTTGGAGGTTCATGGCTGGTAAGAAGTGGGGTTCTAAGTACGGTACCTAAGGCCACAATTTAGGTTACCTTACTTCTCACCCTACTTTCCACTCTCCCTGAACCTTCAAGTACAGGTGGATGGGACGTGTGGTTCTCGAGTCGTTCTCACGGGGGTTTAGGGGAGGCTTGGGTTTTCGTGCAACTCATAAAGCTTTGAGAGTTTCTTGCCACCCGTCTAGTCATGCTCCACGGGGCAACTGCAGAGAGAATGCTTGGCACACTACACTTCAAAGCCCAACTTTTCGACATGTTCAGAGATCGGACGCTGGTGGGACGATGTTTAGAAATGCAGCTTGCTGGTTCAGGGGTTGGGGCTTAGGGGTTAAGTCTTCATAAGCGCCAAGGATTGGAACAAAAAACATGGACAGGCTCCCCCTCCCCGCCCCTACAGTAAGCCTTTGCACAGTTAGGTGGCCTATACCCGAAATCGTGCCCAGCCCTAAACCCTAAACCCCTAAACCCTAAACCCTAAACCCTTTTTTAAACCCTAAACCCTTAAACCCTAAACCCTAAACCCAGGCCCTAGCCCTGGGCGCGCCAGTCCTTGCACAGCTCTGCCGGGATGTCCGCCTGCGAAGTCAGGCAATGTCTTGGGTGGGATCCCCTCCCCCTTGGGACCACCCTAAACCCTAAACCCATTTTAAACCCTAAACCCTAAACCCGAAACCCTAAACCCACCCTACACCCCCCGAAAAAAAGAACTTGTTGAAAAACACTTTAAATTTGCCACAAGCCCTCATGTGTGGTGACATCATCTAAGCTCTTGCCCTCAACCCTCAACCCTAAATTCTTAAACCCTAAACCCTATAACCTAGGCTCCTTGTAGCGGCCTCGGGGAAGTGCTCCTCGATGAGCGCACGCAAACCTGGCTTGGCCTTCGTTCGGCTAGGGACTTTGGGGTTTTGGGTGTTGCCTTTAAATAAGGTTTAGGGCTTCCTAGGCTTCAGGGTTTTGGTTGTTCAGGGTTTAGGGTTTGGGCTTTTGAGGGTTTAGGGTTTTTGGGGTTCTTTGGACTTTGTAAGTTGGGAATCGGGGAGGTTTAGAACTTGGGGTTGTAGCTTCACTCTCTAAATCCTTAACCCTAAACCCTTAGCCCTAAACCCTATTGAACTCAACCCGAAAACCTAAAGCCCCCAAAGTACCCCAAGCTTCGAAACCATGAGCCCTCCAGCCGTCAATCTAAGGGTTCGATCTAAGACTGGGCCTGTTAGGGTTTCAGGGTCTAGGGCTTCGACGCTCACACTCGCACAACACGGTTTGGGGTTCAGGGTTTATGGTTTAGGGTTTAGGGTTTAGGGTTGAGGGCTTAGGGCTTAGGGCTTAGGGTTTAGGACGTATTCTTCTTGAACCCATCAGCCCGCCAAAAGGAGATGAGGGTCGTTGTGGGTTGTTTTTCCAAGCTAGCCCACCCCCGCCGCGCACCCTCCACTCAACTCTTTGAAGTCCGAAACTGCGAGAAATAGCCGATTAACCGGGGGACCCCAAAGAGGGTTTAGGGTTTAGGGTTTAGGGTTTAGGGTTTAGGGTTTAGGGTTTAGGGTTTTTTTTTAGGGTTTAGGGTTTAGGGTTTAGGGTTTAGGGTTTAGGGTTTAGGGTTTAGGGTTTAGGGTTTAGGGTTTAGGGTTTAGGGTTTAGATGACCCTAAACCCTTTTGCATCCAGGCCTCTATCCCAAACCCTCAAGCCTTAAACCCTAAACCCTAAATCCCTTTTTTCAAGAGACTTCGCCCGCCTCGAAAACTCTGAACCCCAAACCCTGAAACCCGAAGCCAGAGGGCGAAACCCCACCCTAAACCCTAAACCCTAAACCCTGAACCCAAAACCCTAAACCCTACGCCACATGGCTCTTGGCCCTCAGCCGCCCGCCGCGTCGATCTTCTCGCTGGGACCCTTGAGCAGCAGAGCGCCTCCCCCAGTCCAAAACGGGAGCTTGGGTTTGGGGTTTAGGGTTCGAGGTTTAGGGTTTGGGGGTTTGGGGTTTAGGGTTTGGGGTTTGGGGTTTAGGGTTTGGGGCGTGGGGTTTAGGGCGGGTTGACAAACCCTAAGCTCTTACACCCCTAAACCCCCACTTCCTGAACCTTAGGTCCCCAAATTGCTCCACTTTCCGGCTTGTGTGCTGAGAACTGGGGCTTGTGTTACATCTTCTGAGTAGGGAATCAATGACATGGGAGTCCAAATGGCAGAGATAGGGGGGGAGAAGGTGCTTGCTTTCAAGCAAAACAGGGGTCCGTACATCATCCCCTAGGGGCCCTAATTCCCTGCTTCCCTACAGGGAACCAGCAACTATACTCCCCTTAGAACCTTAATAAACATAACATTCTTAATATCCTCTTGGGTTCTATAGAAACAAAAATGAAACTAAGAATTCCCAAGGGTGATATAGTATATAGGCAAGCTTATTGCTTGGGTTGCCGCGCCCCTCTCCCAAGGCTTCTGGCATTGGGATGCGCCAGCCCGGTTTTGGCAATCCTGTACACTGAAAAACGGTCCATCCCAAAACCCTTTTCTTTACTAGTAATATGAGAATTAGGTGCAAGCTGTACTTACGGTCCCCCTATTTTTTGAGGGGAACCCGAGATCTCGCTCTGCACCACTGAGAACATCTCCCGACCTCTGGCTGGCTGGGCAGCGATGATGATGTGGCCGTGCGAATCGCCAAGCTTCCTCGACTGCTGGGTATTGGACGGGGAAGAAAACTCTTTTGGGCAGCCAACATCTCTAAGAATTTAATAGTAGGAACCCCAAAATGGACCAGAATTTAGGGAACCCACCATGTAGGCCTTTAAGATTGTGTCCTCTTTATCAAAGATACCCTCCTAGCAGACCGGCCGCGAGGCTTTGGGCTGGGGCTTTGGAACTTCGACTCTCAACCCCACACAAAACCACCTCACTTGCAAGAAGAAACTGTCAGAGCCTGTGGAAGCCTTGAAGCCAAAAGGGAAAGACCCAAAGATGCCGATGCAAACGCGGGGTCCGCAGGCATGGCGTAAGCATGCGGAGGACATTCTTTGGCCAGTGTTCCTGCGCAGGCATCCAGGGGCATGGGGCAGAGTCGACTGCAGGGTTTTGCGGTGCTGGCTCCAAGTTCATCGCAGCATGCTGCGAAGCCCGAGGCATGTGATGCTGAGAGAACAACAGCAGCTTGCAGATGAAGCCCACACTAAGTGCCACTACCAAGGGGGAACCCAGCCGCTTACCAGCCATTTCTCAAGCCCGCAAGCCTTCAACTGCGTCGGTACCCAAAATCCCATCTGTCTGAATGCAACGAGAGCTGTCAAGCGCTTTCCCGTAGCAGTTTGTGTGTGTGTGTAAGATGTTCTCTACTCTTGGTTTCACGTGGCCCCTTGCAGGAACAGCTGAGTTCATGATGCCAACAATCATGAAATAATCGCACTTGTCCTGGATAAGGCAACCATTTGCATGCTACCCGCCTGACGGCATGTAGCCACTCATGCACGCATGATCCTCTTGCCACATGTAGTGTGACCCGTGGCACCTACTCTAGCCAGATTAGCTTCCGTGTGCTTGGGCGACCGCTGAGTTTTTGCAGGCGCCCTCCATGAACTTCCTGTTGGAATGAGGTGCCCTATATTATCTCTTAAAGGGTATATATGGGGCCCTAATTCCCTCATTCCCTGCTAACCAACAGTAAGTTAAGAGCTGCAGGGGGCCTTGGGTATGAGGATGGTGAGCTCGTCTTGCGCCATGGCTTCGAGTCCAGGCGACGGAGGCGGGCATACGAATGACATGTTTGGGTCTCAGGGCTTCAGCGGGTACTTATGAGTGAGGCTACAAGTATGGTAGCTACGGCTTGGCTCGAGTGACGCTACGATTGGGTCTCGGTGTCTAGCTCTGGCCCTCATATTCCTCTGAAAAAGATCTTAGATAAGAGCCTCTTAAAGCCCATAAGGCAACATGTAACATGTGTCAAGGCCCTACCTGGTGTGGAGTGGCCCAAGCCCCCAAATCTGAATCTTCTTCTAGGGACTCGAGCCCAAAGAGCACCAACAAGCGGGATTTCGACTGTCCCTCTTGCACAAGGCAGGCAAGGATTCGGCACCCTCCCACGAACTACGCGAAACTGTTCCTGAGACACTGCCTACGATTTTTGCTGCTGACTAGGGTGACTAGGGTTTGGGACTTAGGCTTGGGCGACTGACATCTACACAGGAATTGGCACCGTAACAAAAGGAGCCTGAGAAGAAACCCACCAGAATCGTCCAACTACGCTTCAAACGTCGGCCTGTAGCGAAACGCGTGAGCTGCTTGGACATCCTGCCTGGGCATGCGAGACTCTAGTGGACTAAGCTCAGTAGCGAACGTATCTGCAAGACACCTGGAGCCCTAACCCCCGAAGACCCTCAAGACCCTAAACCCTCAACACCCAACACTAAACACCCTGAGCACCCTACACGCCCTACACCCGAAACACCCTGACACCCCCCACCCGCCCGTAAACCGCTAAACGCCCCAAAGACCTTCTCACCCTAAATCCTCTACACCCTAAGCACCCTAAGCATACTAAACACGCCAAACACCCTAAACTCTAAACCCTAAAGCTCTAAGACCTAGACCTCCTTCTCCACCGCACTACGACCTGGACCTAAGAACCCTGAACCCCAAATAACCTAAACATCCTAAAGACCCCAAACCCCATAAACCCGAAACGCCCTTAAACCGCCTGAACCCTAGACACCCTCAACTCCACCCCAACCCTCAACCTGAACCCTGAACAACCCAAAACACCCTAAACACCCTCAACCCCTGAGACCAGAACACCCTGAAAAACTGAGCACGCTAAAACGTAAGCAGCCTCAACACCCTGAACCTAAACGCCCTGAGGCCTAAACTCCCTTGACCCCGAACAGTCTAAACACCACAACAGACCTTCAACACCCTAAACACCCTAAACACCCTCAACACCCTCAACACGCTAAACACCCTAAACACCCTAAACACCCTGAACACCCTAAACACGCTAAACACCCTAAACACGCTAAACACCCCCAACACCCTTTTGAGCAACGGACTTTGGAGGCTGCCGGCACCCCAAACACCCTAAACCCTAAACACCCTGTAGTCGACAAAGGGAAAACCAAAAAGACGGGCGGAGAGAAAATTCACCAGCCTTCGACCAAGCCAAGCAAGCATAGTTTTCAGGGTTTAGGGTTTAGGGGTTTAGTGTCTAGGGTTTAGGGTTTTGTATTTAGGGTTTAGGGGTTAGTGTTTAGGGTTGAGGGTGTTGAGGGTGCTTGGGTTGTTCAGGGTTCAGGGTGTTGAGGGTTAGGGGTGGGTTTGGGTTCAGGGTTGAGGGTGTCTAGGGTTCAGGGGCAGGTTTAGCAAGCGCATGAAATTGGCATGCCTGCACATAACGGTGTTCCTGTGTTGCTACTGTTTCGAAAACATTCTAAACACCCCAAAACACCCAATACCTGTAACCCCTAAAACGCAAACCCTAGACTCTGGACCCTACACCGCACAACTCCTAGACCCTACAAGCCCAACCCCTAAGACCCAAGAAACCCTGTAATTAAGCCCTAACCCTTAAACCCCTAAACCCTACAAGCCCTGCAGACCATAAAAACCGCTAAAACCTAAAAACCCAATTAACTCGCTGAACCCAAAAACCCAAGAAACAATAAACACCTTGAACCCTAAACACCCTTTCAACCCCAAGCGCTAAAAATCCTCAACACCCTAAGCCCTGACTAAATCGGGAAAACCCTTTAAGACCTAAAACCCTATAAACCCGCAACCCAGTAAACCCTGAACCCTAAACTCGAAAAGCCCTGCAAACCCTAAACCCTACAGACCCCAAACCCTAAACCCTGCAAACCCAAACCCTAAAAAACCTTAAACAAAAAAATCATAATGCAAGCCCTATAAACCCAAACCCTAAACACAAAAAAAACCTGAACCCTATAAACCGTGAACCCGAAACGCCCCACAAACCCTAAACCCCAAAAACAACATACACCCTGAACCTTAAAAAGCCTATAAACCCTAAACCCTACAAGCCCGAAGCCATATAAACTCTAGAGGTGGACCCTAAATAACCTATAAACCCTACAAACCCCACGCCCAACACCCCATAAACCATAAACCTTACACCCAACACCCCATAAACCCTAAACCCTAAGACCCCAAACCCCAAAAACCGTATATACCACAACCTAAACCCTAAACTAAAGGCCCTAAACCCCCGTAAATCCTGCCGACAAACCATGAACCTACTACCCCCATTCAGCAGAAAGCCTGAAACCCAATAAACCCTAAAAGCCCTTTAAACCCTAAACGTGATGAACCCAACTATATACCCTGTAATCCCTGCAAACCCTATAAATCCTATGAACCCTAAGATACCTATAAAGCCTAAAAACCCTAAACCCTGCAAAGCTTATAAACCTTTAAATCCTAACCCAACAAAACCCCGAAAACCCTGTATCCCCTAAACCATGCAAAGCCTCTAAACCCCTAAACCCCAAAACAAACAATAGAAAGACAAATAAGCCCCTCGACCCTAAACCCTACAAACCCGCTAAACTCTCAAAACCTCATAAAAACATTAAACCCCATAAACCCCAAACCATATCAATCCTGCCTGCCCAAAACCCCACCCTAAACCCTAAACCCTAAAACCCAAAAACCCTAAAACCCTAACCCCTACAACCCTAAACCCACCTTAAACCCTCAACCCTAAACCCTAAACCCTAAAACCCTAAAAACCTAAACCCTAAAACCCTAAACCCACCCTAAACCCTCAACCCTAAACCCTACAACCCTAAACCCACCCTAAAAACCCTAAAAACCCTAAAAACCCTAAAAACCCTAAAAACCCTAAAAACCCTACAAACCCTAAAAACCCTAAAAACCCTAAAAACCCTAAAAACCCCAAAAACCCTAAAAACCCTAAAAGCCTCAAAGCCCCCCAAACGGCTCCGGGCCTCCCTCACCAGGATCTGCGCCCATGGCTGCATGGCAGCTTCGATCGGGGTTGGGATTGAGGGTTTAGGGTTTAGGGTTTAGGGTTTAGGGTTTAGGGTTTAGGGTTTAGGGTTTAGGGGTTAGGGTTTAGGGTTTAGGGTCTAGGGTTTGGGGTTTTAGGGTTTGGAGTTTAGGGTTCGCAGGGTTTCGGATGTAGGGCTCAGGGGCTGGGGTTTAGGGTTCGGTTCGGGTCTAAAGTTTGGCGTGGAGGGCTCAGGGTTTAGTCCCGAAGGCTGGGGGCCCCCTTCGGCCATGCTTATCTTTTCAAGCACATTTTTCTCTGAAGCGCCCTAAAGCACCATAAACCCTGAAACCCTTCTGAACCCAGGCTCTGAGCATCAACCCTGAAACCCTAGACCCTAAACCCTGAAACCCTAAACCACCCTTGAAACAGCCACCCTTCAAGGCCGTCGGCCACGGAATATCGGTGCCAGGAGCAATCGGCTGCGTTCCACTCACGGGCTTGAGGGTTTAGGGTGTTAGGGTGTTAGGATGTTAGGGTTTAGGGTTTAGGGTTTAGGGTTTAGGGTTTAGGGTTTAGGGTTTAGGGTTTAGGGTTTAGGGTTGCGATTTAGGGTTTGGGGCTTTAGGTTTTTCTTGGGGGGGAGGGTTGGAGGCTTTACGATTTAGGGTGTGAGGGTTTGGGCTGGAAGTTTCGTCGCTTCCTGCGGATCGGCGTTTGGGTTCTAGGGTCGTTTTGCGGGGGGCCATTGTGAAACTTGGGATGTTCCCCCTTATACTAACAGCCCATAATAGGGATGATAGTACCCCCTACTATAATCCCTAGGAAGGACGGTTAGTATAAGGAGGAACATCCCAACTTGGCACCCTTCTCGCTTGTGCCCCCCAACCCTTTTTTTGAACGAGGTGTCTCTCTCAAGTGCCCAACACAACCCTAAACCCTACTGTAAACCCTTCTTGCATCCAGGCCTATGAGACTGCTTGGCACTGCGACGTCGCAACCCCAAACCCTAAAACCCTAAGCAATTTGCCCTGGCTCCCAGAACCTGCCGCAGCAGCCATTGTGTTTTCCCCAGGTTTCTTTGCTGCAATGCCTCTTGCCACTCCTTGGCAAGAGTCAAACTTGAGATATTCGCCAGCATGTGCGAAGATTCCCGAGACTTCCTCTGAAAGCAAGTAGTAAGCCAAGCACATGGCTAGCTCCTCTCAAGAGCTCACAACGCATGCTTCGCAAATGCTCCTCGCGGCAGCCGCGACGTCTCAAACGTCAAAATCTGAAGCGGCATGTCTGCTAAGCCCATCGAGCTTAAGAGCTCTTGAACACCAACCCGCGTGACCAAAACAGTGAGTGTTGTGCCACTTCGGACTGTTAAACCTCAACATGTCACTCCGGGCTTTTGCGCCTTTTCTAATAACAGAAAGCCCCGAAGCTCAGGATCAAAACTGTACTTGTCAAGCACCAAAAACACCCTGGCATGTACTGTGATCTTAGAATTGTTCGAAGAATTCCCTGTGTTCTGCAACCCACATCAGGAAGTTTGCCCCGGTCGCGTCGACCGTGAAGCTCAGTACCGCAACTTGGCTAGCAGGCACATTGTGGAGCTGGGCCCTCCTTCTGCTCTGGCTTAGGATGCAGTGCTTGAAGTTCGGGGGTCTGCATAGGGCTCGGGACTGGGGTCCAGAGTTTTTAGTTCAGGGCTAGGGAATGCAGGGTTCGGGGGTTCGGGGTCTGCTATCCGACAAACATGGCGCTCTGAAAATG